TGTCCATAAGTATCTGACTGAACCACTTTTACAAAGATTAAGCTGTTTCTCCTTTCATTTGTATGTATTTTTCAAAGTCAAATTAGTTTCAAGAATATAGTAACATCTTAAGAGAAAATCTTTCCAGGTTCAATGCAATGACTTGCACCCCGACCCTTCTTTCAATTCTTGCCTCTTCTGCTTCCACTCTTGCCTCCACCTTCCTTCCAGTTTTGTCACCTCCCTTCTTTAAAGCCTTCAGTGGTTTCCCATTGCACTTATAAAATTCTAATTTCTATGCTCTGCATGATCTGGCTCCTGCTTTTCTTGCCAGTCTGATATTTTGCCACTATTTGCTACTGTCTCACTTGGCTGTAGACACCCCAGACTCTTCTCATTTCTTTGGCCACAGCATGCCGTGCCTCAGGGTCTTTGGACTTTCCCTAGTGCTGTTACCCTTCCCCACCCCTACTCTGTATGGCTCACTCCTTTTGCTCTTAAGGGCTCAGCTTAAATGTTACCTCACCTCCCACCACCCCATCTAAACAGGTCCTCTGTTTGATAACTCAGTGCTTGGTTGTTATTTGCTTACTTGTTTTTGTTGCTGTTTTTTTTTTTTTTTTTTTTGAGTTGGAGTCTCACTCTGTCACCCAGACTGGAGTGCAGTGGCCGCTCCCGGCCACTGCAGCCTCGCCTGCTGGGCTCCAGTGATCCTTCCGCCTCAGCCTTCCGAGTAGCCAGAATTACAGGCATGTGCTACCACGCCCAGCTGATTTTTTGATTTTATTGTAGAGATGAGGTCTCGCTGCCCAGGCGGGTCTCGAACCCACGGGCTCAGGCAATCCACTCACCTCAGCCTCCCAAAGGCGCGGGATTACAGGCTGAGCCACCGAGCCCGGCTGTTGCTGTTATTTTCAGTTTTTCTTTCTTTTCTTTTTTTTTTTGAGTTGGAGTCTCAGTCTGTCGCCCAGACTGGAGTGCAGTGGCCGCTCCTGGCCACCGCAGCCTCGACCTGCTGGGCTCTGGCAATCCTTTCACCTCAGCCTTCCAAGTAGCTGGAACTACAGGTGCGCGCTACCACACCCGGCTAATTTTCTGATTTATTGTAGAGATGAGGTCTCACCAAATTGCCCAGGCGGGTCTCGAACCCGTGAGCTCAGGCAATCCACTCACCTCAGCCTCTCAAGGTGCAGGATTACAGGCTGAGCCACCAAGCCTGGCTTGTCTTTCTTATTAAGTTGTAAGCGCCAGTAAAATAGGAACTGGTCTTGTGTCCTTCACCCTTGTAGCCCTAGTGCCTAACAGAGGCTGGTATATTATAGGTGCTCAATGAACACTTATTGCCTAAAATGGGTGAATAAAATGGGTCAGCTATTGGAAATGAGGCTGGTTCTGTCCCTTGCCTCCTGGGCCTTAGCCTCTGATAAAGCCATAACCTGAGTCAGCAGTCTACAGCTTATTTTGTTTGTCTCCCTTTTATAAGTGTGGCAGCCCATGACTGCCCTTGGCATGGAAAAATGAGACTAGTTCCCCTGCAATCTAAGATACATTGCCTTGAGTCAATTTAATCCCCCAGAAGTCAATTCACATCCCTCTTGGGATGTTCAGGTGACTGTCCCTGATGGGATTTAGAGATGGGCTTCAGCACACACCTGTGAGGTCACAAATGGTCATAGTCTGTCCTGGCCTTTCTTGACCATTTTTTCCAGTATTTTCAATCATCTACTGAATGGTTACCTATGAATTCAATGCTTTATTTTGTTGGGTCTGTTTCCTCTATAAAAGGAGGTTATTTGGTTTATTAATATTACTTTGCTAATAATACCTAATAATTGTTTGGGGCCAGGTACTGTACTAAGCTTTTTATATGTATTACCTTGTATAATGATCCCATTAACCCTATGAGAGAGGATGCTATGATCATTCCCATTTTAGAGAGGCCACATGATTTGAACATTATTCCTTATGCTGCAGTGCCTAACTAAAGAGGATTTTGAAGAGCTCATTCTATTCAATTCATCAGATGTTTATCAAATACTTGTTCCCTGCTAGGAATTCAGATGACACCAAATTTCCCACTGTAATTGAATAAATCAGGTAAATGAAACATTGAAGACATTTGTTTGTGGCAAGTGCAGACTTTTAAGATTTCAAGGCATTTTTTTTTCATAATAAATGTCTGGGACCTGTAGCAGTTGGGAGAGGAAATAAAATAAGGGAGGACTGGCTGGGAACATAGGGTAACACATATAGATCCTGGCAGCAGGGGTGGTATGCAGAACAAAAGGAAATAAGGTAGTTCCCCCTTTGTCTTCACTTACCTGTCCTTACCATGGCTTGATGAAATGAAAAGGGATGTAGAAGGAAAACTTATTTGTTTATCTAGAATATATTTTTGGAGCACTGACAATGGGCTGGGCATTGTGTTAGACATTAGGGGTAAAGACAAATTTCATAGTAGCATAAGACCAGGAGGTAAATCCTAAGTAACAATTGTGGAGAGAAGAACACAGTGGATGGATGAATTCCCCATTTGTGGCTTTAGGTGTGCAAAGAATTTCCTGTACCAATTCAGTAAGAAAAAACATAAAAATAAAAAAATAAAAAACACTATCTTCATAGTTTTTCAATAGCATTAAAGTGCAGAAACCATATTTGCAGAATAATTTTTGCCTGTAAACCTGAGACCATGGGAAACCACATTTTTAAGAATAATAGAATCTAATGCAAATTCAGACTTAGAAATGTTCAGTCTTTTTGTCTTTTTACACTGCAGACTCAACAAACCCAATTCCCAGATGCTGCAGAAAGGAATACTATGAAATGCAGTTGATCTTGAACATTGACAAAGAATAAGTGCCACAATCTTTGTAATTCTTCAGATTCTCAACTCTGCAACAATATTTTACATAAATATTTTATTAAAGTCTGTCTTTCCCACTGTAAACACCATAAAGGCAGGGATCATGTCTATTTCCTCTCACTGTTTTGAACTAAGCACCCTGCACTATGCCAGGTACCTGGTAAGCACACAATATTCGAATGAATGGAATAAACACATTTTCCCTCTATAAAGTATAACTGAAAAACTCCAAATGCTCTCCGCACTTGGAGCACTCCATCAGCCCAGTGACAAACATTATATAAAACTTACTACTAGCCAGGCTTGGTGGATCAGTCTGTAATTCCAGCACTTTGGGAGGCTGAGGCGAGTAGATTGCCTGAGCCTACGGGTTTGAGACCAGCCCGGGCAACTTGGCAAGATGTCGTCTCTACAATAAATAAAAAATTAGCTGGGCATGGTAGTGCACGCCTGTAGTTCCAGCTACTTGGAAGGCTGAGACGGAAGCAGGTTGACTCTAAGGTGGCTGTGAGTGTGGCACTGTACTCCAGCCTGGGTGACAGAGTGGGACTCAAAAAACAAAAACAAAAAAACCCCAAAACAAAACTTACTACCACTGAGATAAACTTTGTATCAGTTTTAATTTTTTCTGCTCCTCTTTCATGAGTGTGGCATTCCACTACAGCCCTTGGCATGGAAAAGTAAGCCCATGAGAAGCCACATTTTTGTATTAGTAATCACCACTACACCTCCAACTTAAGTTGTCACAACCTCACAATATATTCTATTTCCTTCCTGAATCTTACTCAATATTCTTTTAAGGTCTAACACTAAGCGAATGAAATAAAACCTTTGATGCCCCTTAGTTTTCCATATAGCAAAGTCTAAACATCTTAGCCTAGAGTTCAAGGCTGTTTTCTTTTTCAGTATAATTAGTCTTTCCAACCTCATCTCGTCTCACATTTTTACCTACACTCCACATTTTGTAATTCAATTACCACTGTCAGTCCTGCCGGTCCTTTGAGCCACTATGTGTGCTCTTAAATACCTTTGCTCATGTTGTTTGCTTGATCTATGATGCTAAATTCCCATCCTTTCTCTGCTTGATAAATTCCTGTTTATTATTTTAGCCTAATTCAAATGTATTTATCCCTAAGCCACATTCTTCCAGTGCTCCATACCCAGTCAGAACTTTTTTTCCCCTATTCTTTACTCCCTAAATTATTCAGTTGAGGCCTCTATTATAGGACTAATCATCTGATATTATCCCTGGTTTTGTATGTCCTGTTCTCCAACTAGGGTTACCATATACATCCATTGACTATCTACCAGGCTTTCAAATCAATATTACAGGTTGAGTATGTCTCATTCAACATGCTTGGGATCAGAAGTGCTTCTGGTTTCAGATTTTGGAATATTTGCATTATCCTTACCAGTTGAGGATCCCTAATCTGAAAATCAGAAATCTGATATGCTCCAATGAGCATTTCCTTTAAGCATCATGTCGGCATTCAAAAAGTTTCAAATTTTGAAGCATTTCAGAGTTTGAATTTTTGGATTAGGGATGTTTGGCCTATATTTATCCCTCTATCTATTTTTGAATAAATACTTTATTCCAAATCATATTTAAAAATCAGGAAAAAAAAGTACGGAGGGTACAGGGGCAGTGAAACATTAAATTCCCTTGCTCCCTTATTTCAGTTACCTAGTTTTCCTCCCCAGAGACTCTCCCTCTATATATATTAGTTACCTGTTGCCATAATAATGTGGTGTAGTAAACAGCCAAGAAACTTCGGTGGCATATAGCAATAAACATTTATTTAGTACATGAGTCTATGGGACACAGCTGACCTGGGGTGAACAAGGCTTACTTGCATATTCGCAACTTGCTATGGGTCAACCAAGCAGCTCTGCAGATCTCAGGTCAGGCCTACTCAACATAGCTGGTGGTTAGCTGGCTGATAGCTAATCTAGGATGGTCTCAACTATGCCACTGGAGGGACTTGGCTCTGTCCTGTGTGTCTCTTATCACCTGAAGGTAAAATTCTTTTGTGGGGGTAATTTCAGAGTAAGCAAGCCCAATCATGTAAGTACCTTTCAAGCTTCTGCTTGTATCACATATACTAATATCTCATTGGCCAAATCAAGCCGCATGGTTGAGCCCAGAGTCACAATGGGAGGGCACTACAAATTACATAACTACAGAGAGGGGTGAATAATTGAGTCCATTAATGTACTTTGCCATAACCTTTTCCCAGTTCTAAACAATTATAAGTAAATACCTATATATACTTTTTATTAACACAAATGGTAGTATGCTATTGTTTCCACACTTTGCTTTCTTTTACTACTTTATTATCTATTTCCATTAATACCTAATGTCCCATCATCAGATGTGTTCTAAAGAAAATTAAATGAGAGGATTTTAAACCACACGTATTCCTTCATCCCAAGCAGGAGTGAGTCTTCTAAATTAATCCCAGAATGGCTTCAACAGAGGAACAAGATGGACTTAAGATTGTGAAGGTAGAGGAAGACCCTATCTGGGACCAAGAAACTTACCTTCAAGTGAACAACTTTTCTGGCCGGGAAGCCTACCGACAACTTTTTAGGCAGTTTTGTTACCAAGAGACTCCTGGTCCCCGAGAAGCGCTGAGCCGGCTCCGGGAACTCTGCCATCAGTGGCTGAGACCAGAGACACACACCAAAGAGCAGATCTTGGAACTGCTAGTGCTGGAGCAGTTCCTGACCATCCTACCTGAGGAGCTCCAGGCTTGGGTGCGGGAGCACCATCCAGAGAGTGGGGAGGAGGCGGTGGCTGTAGTTGAAGATCTGGAGCAAGAGCTCAGTGAACCAGGGAGCCAGGTGAGAGGAGGAAGTTGGGCTTCTAGATGTTGAATACTAAATGAAAGGTGAAGTTTGTTGACAGGTTGGTTTGCTGTAGCCACACATATTAGTTGTCTGTTGCTGTGTAACAATTTATCCTAAACCTTAATGACTTCACCAGTTATGAGTCAATAATTTGTGAGCTACTTAGGAGGATCTCTCATGAGCTTGCAATGAAGATATTAGCCAAGATTGAGGTGGGTGGATCCAAGACGGCTCACTTGTATGGTTGTTGGTAGGGGGCCTCAGTTGCTCACTAGCTATTGGCAGGAGGCCCTTAGTTCTTTGCCATGTTGGCCTCTCCCTAAGGCTGCTTGAGTGTTCTTACAACATGTCAGCTGACTTCCTCCAGAGGAGAGAGAGAAAGAAAGAAGGGAAAGAGCCATACTGCTTTTTATGACTGTTAAATTATATACCATCACTTCTGTCACACTTTCTATTCAGCAGAAGTAAGCCATCATGTACAAGCCCACACTCAAGGGGGTAGAAATTAGATTCCAACATTTAAAGGGAGGGATATCAAAGAACTTGTGGGCTTATTTTGAGCCAGCACACTATACTGGGCCATTCTTACTCTCCCTGTTCTGCATTTGGGTGTGGAATTAAACTCTGGTCTTTTCACTGTGCCATCTCTCTAGAAAATGTTTCATATGGTTGAATCTGATATCTTTCATTGAGTATTAGCTTGGGCTCCTATAGTCCTCCTCTATGAACCCAAATATACTTACTTGCCTTCAGGCCCAAGATCACAAACATGAATTTTCTAAAGGGCTCTCAGAGGATGTGTTACCCCTGAAGGCCAAGCAAGAATCAGCAGTCATCCAGCTTCAGTCCATGGTGACACAGCTCAAATATGAATCTCTTGGCCTCCGCCAATTTCAAGAACAAGGTAAGGACATTGATAGGTCCATTCAAGAGACGGTGGGTCTATATAGGGTAATAGTTAAGACTGTGAACTCTGGGCGCAAATTACCTGGGTTGGAATTTAAGTACTGGTACTTAGTAGCTCTGTGACAATGGGCAGGTCAGATAACTTTGCTATGCCTTCAGTTTATGCATCTGTGAAATGGGAATAATCATAGCACTTCGGTTACAGAATGTTTTTGAGATTTAATACATGAATACATGTGAAATACTTAGAACAGTGCCTATTTTGTAGTACATATTCTATAGTGTCTGTTTGTGTACATCCTATTTGGGAGCCTTGCTTTCTCTGGGTGATTTCCCCAGCCATTTCAGCAGTGCACATGAGCCCTAACTCTGCTAGTTTACACATCCCTGTGTTATGCCTCCTTATGTTACACTGCCAATTTTGCATTCCTAGAACATGACGGTTTGATATGGAATTTTCTATTCTCATCCTATGACTGTGTTTTTTCATAAAGGAAATAGATGACATTGTTTGGGTCATTTATTATTCCAGGTGGTGAAACTATAGCTGAGAACCAGAAGCTGGCATCAAAGCAAGAAGTCCTTAAAAAAATGGAACATTTTGAGGACTGCAAACTCAAAAGTGATGCTCCTTTAGATTCTAAGTACAGAGAAACTTATAAACATGAGATCACAGCAGGAGAAAAGCAGCGGGGACACTCCACTGGAGAGAGACGTCACAGGTGCAATGAATGTGGGAAAAGCTTTACTCAGAGTTCAGTCCTTATTCAGCACCAGAGAATCCATACTGGGGAGAAGCCATATGAATGTGAGGAATGTGGGAAGGCCTTCAGCCAGAGGTCAGGCCTGAATGAACATCAGCGGAGTCACACTGGAGAGAAACCCTATCAATGTAAGGAGTGTGGAAAAGCCTTCAGTGCCAGCAATGGCCTCATTAGACACAAAAGAATCCACACTGGGGAAAAGCCATATGAATGCAAAGCATGTGGGAAGGCTTTTCGCCTCAGCTCCTACCTTGTTCAGCATCAGCGGATACACACTGGAGAGAAGCGCTATCAGTGTAACCAGTGTGGCAAAGCCTTCAGTCAGAATGCGGGGCTTTTCCAGCATCTTCGAATCCACACTGGTGAGAAACCCTATCAGTGCAGTCAGTGCAGTAAAAGCTTTAGTAGGCGGACACTCCTTATGAAACATCAGAGAAGCCACACAGGAGAGAGACCGTATGAGTGCAATGAGTGTGGGAAAGCCTTCAGTCACCACTGCAACCTTATTAGGCATTTTAGAATCCATGCTGTTGCAGAACTGGACTAATTCTGTGGACTCTCAGGCCCCCAAAGTTATCTTGGAAAGTAAGATTTTCAAGTGGCTTATTCTGTTCTTATCAAATTTATTTTGCTTTGGAGTGAGTAGCTTGTCTACAAACCAAGTGCTAGTGTCTCCTGGGTGGATGACTGTGGGTATGGGGAGTTGTTGGGTGGCCTCCTTATTCCCTACCCTTTGGTTCATTAAACATGATTTCCCTTAACGGGACTAAATCTTGTCTGGAAATAAGTTGGTATGGAGGAGCTGTTTTTGAGTAACACTGAATATTGAACAACTCTAGAAGATTAGTATCCATGTGTACTTTGTTTAAAATTGGCTAAGTTCAAAGCATATTCAGAAGTGAGTCCTTTTTCTGTAAGAGTTACATTTTAAAAACAGTTAAGATTTTTGGGAATAATAATGGTCCACATTCCCACAGGAAATCATTGCTATGGTCTCCCCTAGGAATGAGATGGATGTCTTTTGTAAGCAGTATGAAACCTGTAGTCCTGAAGGTTTAGAAATATATGTCCTATTTTAAATCTAACTCTAAATTCTCAGTGCAGGTCATTACTGAGCTCACAGGTTTGAGACTTGCCTGGGCAATATGGCAAGACCTCGTCCCTATAATAAATGAAAAACTGAAATAAGTTTTTCATTTTTGTTATAAATAATGAGTTAGTGATACTTTGAAACCTCGAGTCTTCACACTGTACCTCTTTAATTCATTATCTCTTCAGTGGCATTATATCCCTGGCACTGCCTTCTGTGGGCTAGCCAGTCACTGACAGTGCCAATGTAAGCAGTATCATTTGAGCAACTCTATAAAGAGAAGGAGCCTCTGACCTTGGGCAGCTTGTTGCTTATCCGGGAAACCAGCATGCTCAGGACATTTGGTTAAAACATGCTCTGGTACCAGACTGTCAAGGTTAAAATCTTGCCTCTCCATTTGTGAGCTGTGGGATTTGGGGCAACTTATGTAAATGTCCCTATGGTACATTCTTTCCATGTGTAAAATAGAGGATGGTAACAGTACCTTCCTCATAAGGTATGTAAGATTAAATAAACACAAACTTGTAAAGCACTTAAAGCATAGCTCTCAATAAATGTGTATTATGATTTACATAAGAAATAATACCATTTAACAAATATAGGTGGAATTGTAAGTGTCATGTTAAAAACAGGATATTGGCTGGATGCAGTGGTTTACACCTATAATCCCAGCACTTTGGGAGGTGGAGGTGAGAGGATTGCCTGAGCTCACAGGTTTGAGAACTGCCTGGGCAACATGGTGAGACATTGTTCCTACAATAAATTAAAAAATTAGCTGGGCGTGGTGGTGCATGCCTATAGCTCCAGCTACTTGGAAGACTGAAGTGGAAGGATCACCTAAGGCCAGCAGGTCAAGACTGTAGTAGCTGTGAGTTTGCCACTGTATACCAGCCTGGTTGACAGAGTGAGAGACTCTGACACAAAAAAAGGAAAAAAAAGTAGGATATGTAGGATATCAAATGCCTCTGCTGACATTTGTATTATACTTTTCTCCAGTCAAAATCTGACCAGAATTTCAAAAAAGAGGAAATAAAACTTCAGTTTAAAAGTATATGCCATAAATTTTGGCCTTTCAAATTTGTTTTAAAAACATAAAATTATATGTATAGATATGTGCACACATATATTTTTTTTCCTTATAGTTTAGGAACCATTAAAAAATTATTTAAAATTCCTTTACTAGCCAGGTATGGTGACTCACGCCTGTAATCCCAGCACTTTGGCAGGCAGAGATGAGAGAACTGCCTGAGACTAAAGGTTCAAGACCAGCCTGGGCAACTTGGCGAGACTTTTCTACAATAAATAAAAAAATTAGCTGAGCATGGTGGTGCATGCCTGTAGTTCCAGCTTCTTGGAAAGCTGAGGCAGAAGGACTGCCTGAGTCCATCAAGTTGAGGCTGTGGTGGCTGTGAGCATGCCACTGCACTCCAGCCTGGGTAACAAAGTGAGACTCTGACTTAAATAAAATAAAATAAAATAAAATACCTTTACTGTTTCATTTTTGAATAGAACAATTAACAATTTGCTAAATTTAGACTTTTTTTTTTTTATTTTTTGATTTATTGTAGAGATGAGGTCTCGCTGCCCAGGCAGGTCTCGAACCCGCAGGCTCAGGCAATCCACTCACCTCAGCCTCCCAAAGGTGCAGGATTACAGGCTGAGCCACCGAGCCCAGCTTAAATTTAGACTTTTTTAGAATAGTGTTTATCAAATTTTGGAGAGCCTACCAATCACCTGGGATCTTGTCAAAAATGCAGATTCTAATTTGAACGCTTAAAAGGGAGCCCAGGAATCTGTATTTTTAATAAGCTCTCAGGTTATGTTGATATTGGTGGTTCATGGAGCACATTTTGAGTATCAAGTCTCCAGACTGCCCTGAGTTACTTGTATGATTTCTAATAAGTTAGGGGCACCAAGCAAGTAATAGCTTCCATTCCATTCTTCCACTGGGCAACCTCTACATCAGCATGTAGGCTGTGCCCCCCACACTGACCCACTGCCTGACCCTCCCTATGAGGAGTGAGATGCTTGTGGGATACAGTGGACAGGTGGGGTTCCTGCATTAAAGAGAACATTTGGGAATGTTTCATTTTTTTTTTCAGACTCTATTTCACCAACCTGTCCAAAATGTTGTAGTAGCTGATGCCACCACTTCTCTGAATTCAGTGTCAATTACAGTGACAAGAAGGATTTCCAGTGCCTGTGATCAGAGGAGCACCAAGAGACCTAGAGAAGAAGAGAGGCTCAGACTGTGGGTGGAGGCATTTGGTCAGTCAGCAAGCATCCACTGACCACCTGCTATGCCAGCAGGTACCACTGTAAAGACTTGGGACACAACAGCGGAGTAGACAAAAGTTTCTGTCCTCACAGAGTTTACATTCTAGGAGAGCAGAAAAACAATAAACAATAATCATAATAACTATATAGTATATTAGAAAGTGATAAAGTGCTCTAGAAACTGAAGAAAGTGGAGCAGCATAAAGGAGAAGTGTGTTTCATTATATAGAATAGTTGGGGAGACCTCAATGAAAAGGAGACATCTTAGCTAAGATGTGGAGGAAATGAGGGAGTCAACTTGGTGCTATCTGGGAAAAGGGTGTCCAGAAAGAGTGATAAGCCAGTACAAAGGCCCTGAGGTATGGAATAAAAATAATTTTCCCTGAGTTTGTCAAATGATCCTCACAACCACCCTAGAAGAGGAAGGCATATACTTACCATTCACATTTAAAGTTGTGTGAACTCAGCATGGTAAAATCAAGTAATTGTTCAATGTCACATGCCTGCAATGCAGCAAAGATCTGCATTCAAGACCGACTGACTCCTTGTCTGGTGCTGTTTTTTAAGTACCTAGAAACTTTGCTTTCCAAACTGGGAAATCATCTAGAAGACAAATGTGATACCACATAAACAGGTGCTGAGTAACTATTTTGAATGAGTAACTGTGCCCTGAAAGCATTGGGGGAGGGAGAGGGGCAGATAACCTATTGATAAACAAGAAGAATGACTAGAATCCTGGAAGGTCAAAAGAATGAATGGTTGGGTGTGAGAGGCTGGGGAGTGAGAATGGTGAAGTACAGGAATTCTAGAGGCAGCCAGACCTTAATGGAAAAAAAGGGCTGGGAAAGTAGAGGAGTGGAAGAAAAGGAGACAGAGTTAAGTTTGCTACTAGGTAGCATGGTATAGCTGTTGTCTGTTACTATCTACCTGTGTGATTGTGGACAAGTTACTTCACCTCCCTGTTCCCTTGGTGGAAATACATGAAAGCTAGGTGGGTAAGGAGAGAGGTCTCAGGAGGTTACGCAATGCAGGTAAAGCCTATAAATCCATTTGTGGGGCAAGCGGATGGATGGGAATTGGAGGGAGGTAGGTGGTTAGGAATTGAAAGAGAAGAGCCAGACATATATTGAGCAGGAGGTCTCAGCATGTTTGAGGAGTAGAGAAAGAAGAGAGTCTCCCACTTGTCTCTTTGGCCTAGATGGGCCCAAAGTGATGAGCTCAACAAGATGAAATATTCTCCAAGTTGCCTAAAGAGACATTGGAGCAGGAAATAGTTCTGTGGTACAGTATTTGCCCAGGTCCTCGGGTTCCAGGGGGATTGGAAGAGTCTCAGTCAGAGCTTGGCCCTACCCAGGGTGAGCCCTAGTATATGAGTGAGGTAAGGATGACGCAGTGACTGTGGATGGATAAATGCCAGCATTTCAGGATAATAATAGTAATAGATACTTCTGTAGCACATACCGTATGCCTCTAATTGCTTAACATGTATTAACTCATTTAATAATCAAATAAGATCTAAACATGATTATAGTCAACTCCATTTGAAAGAGGGGAAACCGAGGCACAAAGAAGTTAAGTCACTTGCCCAAGGTCTCACAGCTTGTAGGCAAAAGAGGCACTCTGTGTTCTTGACCCTGCTTCTGATAAGGCCAAAGCCTGCTCCATCTGCCTCCTATTTGGCTTCAGCGGAATATTTTCTGTCCTTTATTATCACAAACTCCCAACTGCCTGCTCCTGATTCACACTTGGCATCTGACTAGAAGAACACACAGGTGTCTATACTGGCTCACAATCATGGTCCTTCCAAGTGGATGCTTTTATCTTTGCCAGAGGATTCAAAGTTGCCCTCTTCTCACTGTCTCAAAATTCGAAGTCCCTTATAGTGTGCTCATCAGTTACCTTACTAAATCCTTTTACACTTTACTGAATTTGAGCTGCTGTGTAATCTGCCCTTATGGGGCCTCCTCTTCATCTCCTTGGCTGCTGTGGTTGAGGTTCTCTGATTCACTTGCTCCATTCTTTACTTCCTGACATTCTTCCTTCATCCTTTTTACCTTCTGCAACTATTGGTCACTACTATTTGGTACCTCTTCTGATACATCAGACCATAGCTCACATTCTTGTTCACAGCCAAGTCTTATTCTAGAGCACTCTCCTTTATGTTCTTTTAAAGTGCCAACTTCTATTCAATAAGATCCTTTTCCACAGCTGCCAAGCCCCAAGGCCATGCCAGTATTCTCTTCTCATCTTCATGATAGTTATCTCCAGCCGTATGGATAGTCTTGTCCTTTCTGTCTTAATAATTATCAAACCTCCCTGACAGGACCTTCCCACTCTCCTGCCAGTGCCCGCCTCCTTCAGCTTAGGGCAGTGATCCCTCGTAGGCATTTAGCAACACTTAAGCTTACTACACTACCCTTTTATTTCACTTGACTCATCTTGTCCTTTCCCAGGATACGGAATGACTGTCACATTTCTTTTGTGCAGTGTTTCAGATAAGAATCTAAGGTTGAAAAAAAATGTAGACTAACAACAAGAAAAAGGAACCGGCGTTAGAGCAGGAAACACCTGAAGAAGTGAAACCCCCCAAAACAATCCTCCACAGACTTCTAATAAATGTTGTTCAGAGTCCTAAATGCGACAGAAGCAGTGAATGGGCAAACCCACAAGGGGACTCTACAGGGGAAATGGCTCACGTGAGTCACCACCATATTCACCCGAGGATCCACACTAGAAAAAGCCGGACGGGTGCGCCGCGGAGAGGAAGAAGACCTAGGAGCAGCGCTCCCACCACACCACGCACCCGGCAGCGTGCACACGAGCGACTCTGCGCATGCGTGCTTGCGGCCGGGCCTCCAGCCTGAGCGCGGTGCTGCTCCAGATCCGCGCAGTTACAGCCCCGAGCGCCGCTTCCGCTTCCGCTTCCGGGCGTGCAGCTGCGCCTTCCTCCGGACCAGCCTCTCACCTCACCAGTGCGTCCGCACCAAGCGCAGATGCCAGGGAGCGAAGACTGCCGCCAGCGCTTCACTAGGAGCGACATCCTCCTCCGGGACCCGCAAGTATTCAAGCAAATGCGGCCGCGGCGAAACCTTCAGCCAGAGCTTCCGGAACACTTCCAGCACCCGAGGGGCCACATGGGCGAGAAGTCTCACCGGTGTGAGCGTGGCTACGCCTTCAGTCAGAGCTCAACACTTCCTGAGTAAAAGAAAACCCTTTTTAAAAAGAAAAAGAAAAAGAAAAAAATACACACACACACACACACACACACCTAATTGGTAGTGATGGAAATTCTTCAGGTAAAAATCTAAGTTTGGATTAATCAATGAGCCAGTGAAAGAAGAAATGAAGAGCTTGATGCTTTTTTAAAATTTTTGTAGAGATGAAGACCCGCTATGTTGCCTGGATTGGTCTCCAACTCCTAACCTCAAGCTATCCTCCCGCTGCAGCCTCCCAAAGTGCTGGGATCACAGGTGTAAGCCACAGTGCCCAGCTAAGAACTTGTCAATACCAGAAGCGCATCTGCTGCAGCGAAAACCAATTATATCTTCTGTCGGAACTCATATTTTACTGATAGCAGTAATCACATATTACTGAGAGTGTGTCAGGAGTAAGGAGCATGATAAATAAAACAGACCTTGAGCTTGCGTTGACACTGACACCGACCCTACCTTGGAAGGCATATATATACAGCACAGCCACAGATTTAGTTCATCTGAATACTTTGTTAAATGTGTCCTGGAGAGATACTTTATGAGACGTTAAATTTGGCAATACGTTCCTTCAGAATTTTGACTTCCATCAGAAACTCCATGTGGGCAAGAAGTCTCACATTCCTTTGCCCTAAGTAGCAGGGGAGTTATACTACAGTAAAGAACAAATTTTGTAGTATAAAATAAGGGAAAAGTTCAATCTAAGTTTAGGTCTTATGTAAGAATGTTTAAGCACAAATACAAGCTAGACTGATTTTTTTTTTTTTTTTTTTGAGTTGGAGTCTCACTCTGCCGCCCAGACTGGAGTGCAGTGGTCGCTCCCGGCCACCGCAGCCTCAACCTGCTGGGCTCTGGCGATTCTTCCGCCTCAGCCTTCCAAGTAGCCGGAATTATAGGCGCGCGCTACCACGCCCGGCTAATTTTTTAAAATTTATTTTAGAGATGAGGTCTCGCCAAGTTGCCCAGGCGGGTCTTGAACCCGTGGGCTCCCAAAGCATGGGATTACAGGCTGAGCCACCAAGGCCGGCCTAGACTGATGTTAATTTAGTATTTGGTTGATAATAAGGGAATCCCTAATCAGATACTTCAATATGAGGAATGCAGGAAAACTTGACTTGTTTGTCTTGCCTTGAAGAATCTTCCTGCCTTAAAGACTCACTGCCTTGTGACTCAGTTGGAAACGGTTCCCTGAAGCTAGCGAGATTACTAAAGGATATTGGGACCTCTTCTAATGTATAAATTTACCTAATAGGTTTTTCTTCTTTTGAGTTGGGGCTCTCACTCTGTTGCATAGGCTAGAATGCAGTAGTACAATTAGCTTACTGCAGCTTTGACCTCTTGGGCTCAGACATCATCCCCAACCCCCACCCCCCATCCCCGCCTCCCTCTAGAGCAGCTAGGACTACAGATGTGTGCCACCATGCCCTGCTAATTTTTTTATTTTCTTTTTTTTGGGGGGGGGTAGTGATGAGGCCTCACTATGTTACCCAGGCTACTGGACTCAATTCTTCCGCTTCAACATCCTAGTGCTGGGATTACAGGTATGAGCCACCACACCTGGCCTACATAAGTTTTAAAGTCAACATTTTGTCTTCATCTCTCACCCCAAATTATTTTGTTTTTCCCATCAAGTCTCCTTTCATATTCCACTGTTACATAGTACATTTTAAAACAGCTATTTGGATAGCTACATGTTCCCATCCAGTTGCAATGTAGTCTAAGTATCTTGAGTATCTTGAGTAGTATATCAAATTTCAGGTCTGTTTTGGTTGGTAAAGAGAATTGCAAAAGAGATTCTCTGAAAGTTTGACTAATAAAGGACATCCCCAGAACAAAAACAAATATGTAAAGCAAAAGTATTTGAGGAACACAAAAGTGGAGCTGATAGAACCACCATAGATGCTCAGCACAATGGCAGAGTAAGGTACAGATCTGCAAGACTTTGTTCTTTCCTGTGCTACAGCCCTTCACAGTTACAAAGGTGTTGACCTTTTCGGCACTGTGACTTTTTGGGACTTTATATAGAGAAGTACAAAAAGAATAAAAACTAGAAAAAACATAAAACAAAAAAGGTACTCAATAATGGCTGCAAAGATTGTACCACTTACTACTATGTGAATTTGGAAATGCTACTTAACCTCTCTAAACCTGTTTTCTCATTTATAGACAGGGAATATTAATAACTTAATGTCTATAAAACTCTCAGACCAGTCATATATAGTGCTATAGACGTTTTTGTTAAATGTATATACATCTGTGAAACAGAAGTCATCCAAATCTTGTCCTCCTATATCCAACTTCATCTAACCTAGGAGACCAGATATGCATCAGTGATATATCACTTAGAATTGTGTTCATTTGGGGGCAAATACCTTCCCCAGCCTCTAGAACAATGAGCCAGATTCAGAAAGGTAGTCTGTCCAACGTAACATAGTTGGAATGCAAAGACTTTCTGGTATAAAGATCCACATATAGTCCACTATTTATGCTTATGCATAAAATACTGTCCCTACCTTCTGTATAGCTCATACTCAGCTTTGCTCTTTAGAACGCTGAATGTCAAAGTTGTTTGGAGAAGGGCCTTGTGGGGAGCGTGGTGGGAGGGATGGAAGGGAGGCAGAGGTGGGCAGTCAGGCAATCTCACAGAACTGGTCTGAAAGTAATGGTAGAGGTGGAGAGACATGAATAGATTCAAGAGAGATTGAAGGCATGTGATAGAAGATGGGGGTCAGAGATGACATCTAAGTGTTTAGTTTGATACCTGGGTGGGTGTGATGTTATTTACTTAATTATGGAATGCTGGAGAAAAGATTTAGTAGGAGGGAGATATTAAGTGTAGCCTTTGATAACCCTCAAGTAGGCATGGCAAGAAGGCTTTAGGGATCAGAATAGAAATGAAAGTGGAATAAGAGGTTATTCTATAAAGGTTTTCTGCCTACATTAGCAATTACTATCTGCACCATTCACTTGTCATTTAATCAAAACATGTTCCTATTAATACCTTTTTGTGGGTAAATACATATAGATACCAGACAGTTCATCACTTGAAAGCAGAAACCAACACACCTTAGTGATATATTTCATGAAGAATATCAGATCAACTACAAGAAATACTGAACTTATATTTTCTTGAGCATCTTGTGTGGAAGAGATGGATCTGACTCCATTACACATGGCTTATACTTTCACGACAACTATGCACATAATAGACATGTCTGTTGAAAGAATTCAAGCTTGAGACCCACCTTCTAGCCAGGAATGGGAATTGTAAATGCTAAGATGTGAAAAGCAAGAGGTTGTTGTAGCTACAACCCACAGAAATGTGGAGTCTGTTTTCTTTTTACCTACTAGATGAACCAACCAATATTAGATTTTATGTGACTAATACTAAGATATCTCAGTTCATATCATTCATTTTTTCCAAGTATTTCCCCTTGGGTTGTCTGCCACTGATGGCCTTAATCCTAGACTCATACTCTTACCTTGTTAGGTGATTTCTGCATGGGCTCTATGTCAACTTAATTCTACGGCTATCCTTTCCTTCATTCTCATAATCAACTCTTACTCTGATTTGCTCCCAATTTCTTCAGTTTTCCTTACTCTTGACTTCTGCAGCCAACTTACATAGTCACCATAAGACACATCTTTCATTTCAATATTCAAAGGCACTGCCTTATTCTCTGTTCCTCCTTTACAGCATTCTTCTTCAACATCCATGCCTGACCCTTCTCACCTACACACAATCAGATCCAGTTTTACACCAATGTTGAGATCTTTAGGATCTTACAACCTGTGCTTTGTTTAGATCATTCTTATTTCATAGGCTTTGTCTAGATTTTGGACTATGGATTCAGCACATTTCTATGGTTACTATGACATTGCCTGCATTTTAAAAATGGCATTCTTCAAAGAAAATTTTTAAAGCGGGGATTTAATTTTTTAAATGTACAAAGTAGTCAATTCAACAAATAAATGATTTCCCATGTATATGACATGAAATTTAACATAGAGAAAGGTACCACTGGGGTTCAACGTTTTTGCAATTTTAAACATTATTTGTTATAATAGTCTTTGAAACTCTATAAATGTCTGATTTTTAAAATATTAGTCATTTAATTACTTAATAATTTCATGACATACATCAGTTTTGCTTTGGGAAAGTATAACCTAACGTGTAGCAATCATTTTTCTATGTTTTATTAATGTCTACACTGTGTCCATTTTATTTGCCTTAATCTGACAGATCAGCATAATGTTCCAAGTAGAAATGCGCAACACATCTCCGAAAATCCAAGAGGTCTAGAGAAGTATCCGGGTTACAGGCTCTGTGTAGTTGCCATGCATTGCTCATGGCTACATCAATGATGTAGTTCACCAAAACTGAGTACCATTTCTTGCTTCTTATCCTCACCCGATATTTGGAAATAATTTGATTCAATTTAGCTACACCTTCCTTGCATTCATCATACACTTTAACTATGGACGGTTGACTTATCTGAGGGATCTCTTCATCACCAGCAAAACAACTTATGTCATTGACCGGTTCTATGCCTACCGCATTGGAGCACAGACTGGTAATACCATCACCATTCCAACGACATAAAATTATCTCATCATTTTCTTCTACTCGGAAATCGAAATACCCCCTCTTCATTTTTTTCATATGTTCTGCATTCATCAGGGGACATTTTTCAGTCCTGTTTTCATGAATTGTTCCTGTTGCCCTCACCCCCTTCTTCTTCAAGGCTGACACCAATTTGACACTTGTAAAGAAGCTATCAAAACACAGGTGATAGGGATATTGACCTCTCTCTAAAAGAATATCAGCAAAGTTCATCACCAGACTTCCACCTAACCCAAGGTCAAGATCCTCATCTGCCTTCATAGTTGATTCTTCTTGGTAGGGTTCAAACCAAACCAAATAACCCTGTGTGGTTGTACCACACCAAATTTTATAGCCAATTCTAACAGGCTTTCCATTTAGGAATTGATCACTATCAAAGCATTCACACATTGACTTATCAAAGCAATAATATTCTTCTAGAGGAGCATACAAGAGGAAATTTTTATTCATTTGCTTTATGAGAGGCCTTAATTTTGTAAACTTATCTTTTTGATCTAGGTGGCCATTATCTGCAAAATGCAGGTATGAGAAAATCAACTCAAATCTGTCTCTTCTAATTGCATCTCTAACCAGGTTCAGGTCAGCATCCCAGATTTCCCAATACATTCCCCTTCTGGGACGCCTCACAAATCCACTCAAAAGCAGGACACCAAACACACACCTAATTTCCCGAACCGTGACTTCCAAACTGACATTTTTCTGAGAGGCATAATTATTGGTTTCATTGGCAATCAAGTTGAATGTTTCATCATCAAAAAATAACTCAAAGAGTTCTACTGGGTTCAATTTTTCACTCTTGAGATTCAAAAGTCCAGAATCCAGTGATGACCAACTTGGAAAGTTGGGTTTAATGTCTCTTTTGATCCAATTCTTTTCAGGGACACATGACACCTTTAGCTTCTTTTGAGCAGGCTGGGTTTTAGACTCATTATCTTCCTCCACATCTGAGTCACCAGAAAATGCAAGGCCTTGGAGCAATTCACTCACTCGAGCTTTGTCTTTTTTTCTCCCTTTTCGGGTAATGTCTCCTGCAGCATATTCCAAGGATGAGATGTGCTTCCGGGCCCACAAGTCACCCGGGTGACGGTCCTTCACAGTGTTCAGATGCACAACTGTCCTTTCAGTAGGGATAGAAGTACTACAAGAGATCTGGGGTGTACAATCTCTGGGGGAAAAAAATAACATATGTTATAAAAAATACTCAGTTAAACTCTCTCATAAGGATAAATCTGCTGAAGCCAAATCTTTTGGGGATGGGAGGATTACTTACTTCTTACTCCTCATGTTTCCATGGGGAGGACTTTGGCTAGACTTAACATTTTTGGCCTCTCCCTTGTTCCTCAAGATGTAACTTGAATCTAGCAGAAAGAACTGGGCATCCTTAGTGCAGCCCCTCTCTCTGTCCTCTTTAGGAGCAGGATGCAGACACCCTATGCTCCTTTTTGCCCCAAGTTGCATCTGGTAGGCTTATGCAGGGAAACATCTGCTACACTCAGCTGCCAGTATGAGCCTGTTTAGCGCTGCCTCTGAGCTGCTTTATCTAGTTTTATTTGGCACCTGTCAGCAATAAAGTTGAAGTTTCCAGAACCATCTGTTTTACTCCTCCTGTGTTTCCGTCAATTGGACAAGAAAAGAGCTTATTATTTATTGGGCCTCCTCATACCTGTCACAGAATTTCTGAACATGGAACGACTTAGCTTCTGCTAGTTCTACTTTCATCTAGTGGGCATACTACTCTTGGGAGAAACAAAAAAGAAACAACTCATTGAACTTGGATGACATCAATGGAGTTTACAAAGAAGTAAGCTAAAGTTACTTGGTTCAGTCATCACTATTTTACACAAACTTCCTTTTTGTTTCTAGATATTTGCATTTTATTTACTAGTGTCCTTTTGGTAAACTAGTTGAGTTTTAGAAGACATATGGGGGATAAAGTGAAAAGAGTATATTTTAATATAATTGACACTACATATATCTATTTTCTTAAGGCATTTATCATCCTGGGTGTCTTCAATGTCTGAATGTATTCAAAACATCCACAACTTCAGTGACATTCCTTGATCACATTGAGTCTTTTTACTGCTGAGATTTAAACTCCAAGCCATTAAGCCCAATATTGTGAAGGAAGAAAATGGGAGTGGAAAATGGGGAAAAAGACTGAGGTACGATAGTAGGTGGGGGTGGAGGAGGAGGACTAGAGAAGGAGTGCAAGGGGACAGTGGGTAGGGGGCTAAATCTTTGGCATCTTGGTTAAGCTACTGCACCAACCGGAAATAGTCTGCTATCAGAGTTTTTGTAATATGAAGCAATAAAGTGTCTTTATTCTTATAGGTACTATGAGTCATGGTTTCAGTTACCTGATGCTAAATACACAACAGTAGATTTCTATTCTCCAGTTGTATAACTCTGCTCTGTTATTGAACATTATTTTTAGTGAGGCCTGGCTCAGTCCTCGCTATTGTAATGAAAAATTCACTTCTCTTTTTTTTAATTTTTTTTTATTTTATCTCCCTGTTCCCTAAGATAAACAAATGTCAATAAGGAGAATTCCCATACCCTGCTCTGCACTTAGCTTAATTATCCCATTTTGTTTCCTTTCTCCAGTTTTCTCAAGTTTCTGAGGACTCAATGGCCTCATCAGAAGGTAACTCTCTGCTTTTGATTTGGTTGCTGCCTTTCTGCTGTAGGAGTATCATGTTGCACATTCATTCCCATAACCAACACTCATGAAGTGCCTACTACTTTCATTAATTTTTCCTTCATCAGCTACTTTCCTCTTGAACTACTCATTGTTTGGGTCTCCTAGTGGAAGTTGAAAATACAGGTTTATTACCCTTTATATGAAATGCCTGGGACCAGGAGTGTTTCAGATTTTGAATTGTTTTGAATTTTGGAATATTTCCATTATACCAGTTGAGTATTCCTCACCAAAGATTTGAAATCCAAAATGCTCCAATGAGCATTTCTTTGGAGCATCTTGTAGCACTCAAAAAGTTCTGGATTTTGAAGCATTTCAGATTTCAAATTTAGGATGCTCAACCTGCACATTAATTGTCCTACAAAGTCCTCTTCTGGCTCTGATATTTCTTAACTGTCACGGCAGCTTCACTTGCAATCCTTACTCTCATCTAAATTCTCTGCCTTCTGGCTTCTCCATTGCTCTTTCAAAACATAAAGGAACCCAGTGGAGAGTGATCAAGCAGGACAGACTGGGTTGGGATAGGATTCTTGGAGGCAACCATGTGCCAGCTGAAGGTTTTGTATAATTATTGTATATTGACAGTTTTCAATAGGTCATCTTGTCATGGGGCCTCCATGATCACAGAAGTGAGAATGACTCTTATATTATTCCAGGGAAGCAGACTTTTGATCAACTGGTTTCTCTGATTCCATTCCAACTTCTTCATATGTCTGTAGGATTTGATCCTCTCAGGACCATGGACACTCACCTGTTGGGCATTCCTGAGTCTTCCCCACCTTGTTCCATTTCTTCAGAAGTTTCTTGCTTTGCATTAAACAATCCATCTTTAGTTACAATTTCTTCAGCTAAAATAATATATTAATGACTTAAATGTTATTTGGTTTTTTTTTCAATTTTGACAAAAACAACCTCCAAAGTAGGGAATAGATGTTTCAAGGTAAAACAAACAAACAAAAAAATCAACTGGTGCCTCAGGTGTGCGCAGTTTCGGAATCCTACAAATTTGGCACAGTGTGGAAAATTATTTTTTAAAAAGTCAATTAGGGTACCAAAGCCCAAGTGGGGTGAGGGTCCAATAGGGTAGGACACATTTAAAGAAAATTAAATATGAAGAGTAGCATTCTCAGAGAGTGAAGATAACTTCCTCTGAGGTAAAGAAGGGATTAGGCAGAGGGATTCATGGGACTTCTAAGTATGAAGGGGTATTTGACATGTTCAAGTTATCTGGAATCCTTAATAGGGAAGAGATGCAAAGGAGTTGCTGAGGAAATCAGGGGATAGGAAGGGATGATCAGAGAAGATAACACAAGAATAAATAAGCTGGGTGATGAGCAACAGAAGAATATGTGACTGGGAAGGATGCAAAATGATATGGGCTGAGAGAAGTCCGGAGACAGAAACAGAAGAAAGGAAAGGGAGGGTGTGAAAATATGGTTTGAAAATTTCTGTAGAAAATATTGGCTCCCTGGGACCAAATCAGGGTTAGTGATAGAAAGGCACACACAGGGGACCAACAAGAGGCCTGTGCTTACTCATCAGACTGAGGCTTGTAATCTCCTGAGCTGAGTTCCGACAGAGGTTCCTCTGAACTAGACTCAGATGTGGCCACTCCTCGGTGGCACAGACCTGGGCTGTTTCCTCCTCAGTCTTCAGTGATGTCTAAAAAGACACACACACACAAAATGTGCCTTTTAGTTTTTACAGTGATAAGGATAAGGGATTTGATTGTGAAAGGTGTTGAATAGCACATTACAGATCAGTGGTACCAGACCCTTAAAGCATTCTGTAAATTTGTGGAAACCTTTCTGGTTATAACAATAATGTCTACCACCACTTTATGCCAATGCCATTCAGAGGGTGAGGCCAGAGATGCCACTTCCTGCATCGTATGGGACAGTTTCACACTACAAAGAACTGTCCCACAGCCTGTAGGACTTTTGAGTGTCCTACTGAACCAAACCTACAATCAATATAAATCAGCAGCACTTAAGTCTAAGAATCCTCAAGAGTTTTATAGGATGTTGAATAAATCAGTAACTCATGAACATTACAGAGAAGGAAACTCACATGGAATAAAGATATTGTCAAAAAAGATGACTCCTTCAGACTGTTCTACATGCTGTTTTATCACATTTTCTACTATGTATTTGATTGAACAACATTTCAATGTAATACTGTAGTTACTGCAAATGCAATCAAATTGATTAGATATAGAGAAATATTGAGACTCCTTTTAACAAACTTGGAACCTAATATAAATGCAGAAATCTCACTGAATTTCGCGAATAAATATTGTTTTAAAATACTTCAGACCAGGTGTGGTAACTCATGCCTGTAATCCTAGTACTTTGGGAGGCCAAAGTGGGAGAATTGCTTGAGCCCAGAAGTTTGATTCCAGCCTAGACAACATAGCTAGACCTTGTCTCTACAAAATCAAAAAATAAGCCGAGTGTGGTGGCACACACCTATAGTCCCAGTTACTCAGGAGACTGAGGCAGAAGGATTGCCTGAGCCCAGGAGTTGGGAGACCGTGGTAAGCCAAGATGACAAAGTGAGATGCCGACTCAAAAATAAAAAAATTTCAAAGCTAGCAATGGCAAGATACATAGGCTGAAAAAATATATACAGAATTATTTTGGGGGTTGTCTGTGGTTTTCTATCTTGACACTGTCCCCTTAGGTCTATCAAATGGCTTTTTGTTAACCTCTTGATTTTCTGTTTCATTTTCAAATCTACCTTCTCTTTCCCATTGCCTGTAAAAGTATGCAGTGCCAGTCTTTTACAGACCTAATGTCTATTTTGACAATGAGGGTGTTTCAAGACAGAAGATACTTTCTTTTTAACTCATCATCACCCCATCCCAAACTGCAAACAGAACATAATTTTGGTCATTAAAAAGCCTACCTCATTTAAACACAGCCACCTCATTTAAATGCAGAAATATTATAGGTTTGGTTCCAGACCACAGCAATAAAGCAAATATTTCAATAAAAGTAAATATCACAATAAAGCAAGTCACATGAATTCTTTGGCTTTCTAGTGCATATAAAAGTTATATTTAACATGAGCCAATGCTCAGCCTCATGAATCATCAGAGAAATGCCAATCAAAACTATAAAATGAACACTGGTAAGGATGGTCATCATTCATAAGTTAAAAACAACAACAACAACAGGTACTGGTGCAGCTGTGGAGAAAAGGGGATGCATCTGCACTGTTAGTGGGAATGTAAACTAGTTCAGCCTCTGTGGAAAGTGGTGTGGCAATTTCTCAAAGAACAACAATTGAGCTTCCATACAATCAAGCAATCCCTCTTCTGAGAATATACCCAGAGAAATATAAATCGCTCTACCAAAAAGACACTTGTACACACATGTTTACTGCAATACTATTCACAACAGCAAAAACATGGAACCAACCCAGATGATCACTGAAAGTGAACTGGATAAAGAAAATGTGGTCCATGTACATGATGGAATACTATGCAGCCATAAAGAAGAACAAAATCACGGCCTTTGCAGCAACTTGGATGCAGTTGGAGACCCTATCAAGTGAACTAACACAGATACAAAGAACTGAATACTGCATGTTCTCACTCATAAGTGGGCCCTGATCACCGGTCACACTAGCACAAGGGTGGGATCAACAGACCCTGGGCACTGCTGATGGAGTGAAGGAGGAGGGAGGGGGGCATGTGGCAACACACTGGGTACCTGGTCCACTATCAGGGAGAAAGAGGGTCAGTTAGAAGCCCAAATTTCACCTGCATGCAACCTACTTATGTAGTAAATCCCCACTTGTACCCTACATCTCTAAAATAAATAAATTAGTCCATTAAGTGTAAAAAAGAATTATGTCTTTAAAAAATATGTTAATTAAAAAATACCTTATTGTTAAAAAATGCTTAACAATCACCTGAGCCTTTAGATAATTTTAATCTTTTTGCTGGTGGAGGGGCTTGCCTCAATTCTGATTGCTGCTGACTGATCAGGGTGGTAATTGCTAAAGGCTGGGATGGATATGGCAATTCTTTAAAATGAGACAACAGTAAAGTTTGCTGCACCGATTGATTCTTTCACAAAAAGGTTTCTCTGTAGTATGCAATGCTGTTTGATAGCATTTTATTCATAGTAGAACTTCTTTCAAAATTGAAACCAATCCTCTCAAACCCTGTCACTGCTTTATCAACTCAGTTTATTGTCATTTCAACAACATTCATAAGCATCTTCAGCAGGCGTAAGTACCATCTCAAGAAACCACCTTCTTTGCTAATCCATAAAAAGCAACTCCTCATCTATTCAAGTTCTATCATGAGATTGCAGCAATTCTGTCACAACTTAAGGCTCCACTTTTATTTATAGTTCTTTTGCTATTTCTATGATATCTGCAGTTACTTCCTCCACTGAAGTCTTGAATCCCTCAAAGTCATCCACAATGATTAGAACCAACTTCTTCAAAATTCCTGTTATTTTGACCTTCTCCCTTGAATCATGAATGTTTTTTAGTGGCATCTAGAATGATGAGTCCTTTCCAGAAGATTTTCAATTTACTTTGCCAGATCCATCAAAGGAATTACTATCTATGGCAGCTATAGACTTTAGACTGTATTTCTTAAATGATAAGACTTCAAAGTTAAACTCACTCATTGATCCCCGGGCTACAGAATAGGGATTGTTAGCAGGTATGATAACAACATTAAACTCTTTGCACATCTCCATCAAAGCTCTTTGATGACTAAGTACACTGTCAATAAGCAAAAATATTTTGAATGATGGCTGGGCATGGTGGCTCACACCTGAAATCCTAGCACTTTGGGAGCCTGAAACAAGAGGATTGCTTGAGCTTAGGAATTCCAGATCAGCCTTGGCAATATAGTGAGACCTCGTCTTCAAAAAACATATTTTAAAAAATTAGCGGGGCATGGTGGCACTTGCCTGTAGTGCCAGCTACTAAGGAAGCTGCGGCAGAAGGATTGCTTGAGCCCAGGAGGTCAAGGCTGCAGTGAGCCATGAAAGTGCACAGCACTCCAGCAACCTGGGCTACAGAGTGAGACCCCAACTAAACAAAAAACAAAAACAACAGCAACAACAAAAGGCAGTTTAGTTGTGTCTTGTTTTTTTATCTACTCAGTTACACTAGGCCTTTTAATTAGAGGATTGAAACCATTTACATTGTGTTATTATCAATAATTAAGGATTTACTACTGCTATCTGTTGTTTGTTTTCTGATTCTTTTGAGACTTCTCTCTCCTCCTTCCTTCCTGTCTTTCTCTGAGGTTATATTCTTTTGTAATATGGTTTAATTTGTTGCTTTCCCTTTTTAGTAGATTATAGATTTTTGCACTGTGGTTACCATGAGGTTTAAGAAAACACATTATAGCTGGGCTCGGTGGCTCAGCCTGTAATCCCGCGTCTTTGGGAGGCTAAGGTGAGTGGATTGCCTGAGCCCGCGGGTTCGAGACCCGCCTGGGCAGTGAGACCTCATCTCTACAATAAATCAAAAAATCAGCCGGGCGTGGTAGTGCGGCCTGTAGTTCCAGCTACTTGGAAGTACAGGCTGAGGTGGGAGGATCACATGAGCCTAGACATTGTACTGAGGCGGAAGGATCGCCAGAGCCCAGCAGGTGGAGGCTGCGGTGGCCGGGAGCGGCCACTGCACTCCAGTCTGGGTGACAGAGTGAGACTCCAACTCAAAAAAAAACCAAAACCAAAACCAAAAACAAAAACAAACAAAAAAGAAAACACATTATAGATATAGCAAGTTATTTTGAGATGATGATATGTCTTAGATCACAAATACAAGAGTAGAAACAAAGACAAAAACAGAAAAAAATTATACACTTAAACTCTACCTCCCTGCACATCTTGACTTTTAGTTGTCTCAATTTATATTTTTTTATACTACCTATCTCTTAACAGGTTGCTCTAGCTATTACTGTTTGTTTGGTTGTTTATTTGTATTTGGAGACATGGTCTCACTATGTCACTCAGGCTGAATGCATAGCTCACTATAACTCAAATGTCTAGGCTCATGTGATCCTCCCACCTCAGCCTCCTGAGTAGCTGGAACTGCAAGCTGGCATCCCCACACCCAGCTAATTAAAAAATTTTTTTTGTAGAGATGGAGTCTCACTATGTTGCCCAGGCTGAACTTGAATTCCTGGCCTCTGGTAATCCTCCTGACTCAGCCTCCCAAAGTGCTGGGATTATGGGTGTGACTTATCATTCTGGATTCCATTATTGTTTTATCAGTTTGGCTTTTGGGTTTCAAGGCATTGTTGTGAGTAGATTACACATTATCATTACAGTCATCAAGCATTCTGGGTTTGTCCATGTAGTTAATTTTACCAGTTTATTTTATACCTTTGTAAATTACCCTGTCTCCACTACTTTATTATAGCAACACAAAACGTACTAAGATAGATGCTATTTCCAAGTCAGGTCACATTCACTTGGGGGTTAGGACTTCAACATCTTTTGGGGAAACATAAGATTTCAATCTATAACATTTCATCCCTACTTCAATTAAGATTCTTTCTTTCTTTCTCTGTCTAGTCTTGTATTCTTTGATTAAATACTAGATTTCATTACATTGTCCACCCACACTTCTGCCCTTTGATTTTCCTGAACTTCTGATATCTTTATTCCTCCTTAATTTGAACTTATTAATTATACATCAGTGCAAACACCTAACTACTTTGTTATTTCCTTAGATATAATCATGTTCTAAGCATTTGTATTTTAGAATACTTTTTTTTTAGTAAATTCCTTTTTTGTTGTTTCTACATAATAGCATTATATTACATTTAAGGTAATTATGTTGATTTTTTAAAAGCATACATAAGTATGTTTTATTTTCTATACACTTTCTTTCCAGTAAGGTAAAGTATTTGTTAAGAACAGGAGGCACTGGGTCTGATGGGATTAAGACCCAGTTGGAGCTCACAGAAAAGGACTGAGCAAGAAGGGAACCCTGTGATAACAGTGTCTTGAGAAAACTGATGTGACAGCAGTGTGCAAAAGGACTTAAATGGGAAAGACTTCATTTTTTAAAACTAAATGACTAGAAAAACGAATGAACCACTTAGAGAATTAAAAAAACAAAAACCAAAAAACAAACAAAACAAAAAACCAGAGTACATTTTGTGAAGAAGATGTGAAGTTTTACCCTGGATATATAGAATTTCCATTATCATCACCAAACATTAATTGGATATGTGCTGAGCTCTGAGACTTTAAAGAAGTATGAGAAAAGGTCCTGGTTCTCAGGCTGAGGAGATAAACCAGAAACTCCAAAAGAGAAAAAATCAGTCACTCAGTATCAAATGAGTGGAGGCACTTGCTGAAACAAGGGCCTAACTCCACCCTCACTCCCACACCTTGAGATTTGGACAGGCCTCCTAAACATAATATGAAATGAGGCAATGGTATGTAGCCAATACAAGCTCCCTGGATGATACAATATGGTCTGTGATATTCTGTGAAAAGGTGCAGGCAGAGGGACTGTGCCACCCAAAAGGCCCTCAGGGCGATGAATGTGAGCCAAGAAAAGGGCAAGAAACAGGTGGTCAGGGAGAAAGAGGGTTGCTACTGAAATTCCTATAAGTCCAGACATCCTGCTCACCTGGCACCTGGTTGGGTGGAACTCGAGCACTGCTGCCTTGTCTCTAGGGCTTTCTTCCTGGAGATGGGCTGGTCCCTGGGGAATAGGCCCTGTAGAAAAAGAAGACAAGAGTAATAAGTGAGACACAATGACCTTTAGGAATACCCTTTTTGGGGACGTAGCCCTTCCCCCCAAACTGCTTATGTTTGTTAAACATCCAAGAACTAAGACTTAGATCTTACTGTCTGAGACAGAGCATCACAACTGCTTTAATTCTGCCAGGAATTTTAAAATTCTAAAACCTTAAGGTCTCTTATCCACAAAATTGGGTGGAGTTTATGAATTCTGAAGGTACTTTATAGTGACACACTTTTAGACATATAAATAAAAAGTAAAAATCACAGACAAAAATAAAGAGGGGGAAGAAGAAGATGGTGGTAAAGAAAAGATCATGCAGAGGACACAAAAACAAAAGATGAAAGAAAAGACATGGAGTACAGAGAGACAAGGCAATGGAGAAACAGGAAAGCAGAAAAGAAGATGAAGAGAGAGGCAGGAAAACAAAGATATAAGAAAATAAAGAGAAGAAATGTATTAGCCATGAGCTAGAACCTTTGAGAATCTGCCATGTTAGGAGGTACTGATCCCAAAGGAATCAATAATCAAAATGGTGGATGACTGAACAATGCCCACTATGGTGTTGTTACTTAAAAGATTATTTCCAATTCTCACAATAATCATTAAAGTCCAAATTATTGCCTCCATCTATCATAGGCAGATTCAGAAAGATCATTGCTAAGTACAAAGTACACACAAAAGTCAAACAGATAATTGTTGACTGACTGACTGACTAACTGAATGACCTATTAAATAACTTGCTCGGGTCACACAGTTGGCAGGTGGCAGAGTTGGGATTCAAACCTCTAGAATTCCTTCTTTTTTTCTGTAACTTTTCTTTCTGGACTCTCTTCCTTCTGAGGTAATGTTTCTCTCAGTTGCAGAACACCAGAATACGGGTATGTGTGTTACAAAGTGGTTCTTCCAGGCCCCAGTTCCCACCTCAGAGCATCATGCACTCTTGTTTCTACCATGAATGACAATACTGAGATCTGGGCTGCTATAGCTACCAACACAACAAAGGCAGGCATATTTTCATAGCCTCAAGGTTCAGCTCTGACCGCTCAGGGTAGAAAGTGAACACTTTCAGTTCCAACAGGAGCTAAGAACTGAGGCTCAAAGCTGCTGGTCTCCAGCAAAGCACTAGCCTGCTACTGAGGTACGCAAAATGAAGGTAGGAATCACAACCATTCAGATATCACAATACCATATTATAATGTAAAAAACCTGTACTACTGACTTTTCCTAAAATTGCTCTAATGCCTAAGCATCTAAAATTCAAGGCAACAAAAAATAGTGTTCCATGGATAATGGGAGGAGGTGATTGCACAGACCATCTTGAGCTAAGAAGAGGCACCTTGAACGCTACAAAATCAGAGGTCGGATTTACTTGTCTGATGAGACTCTATGATCAGGCATGCTTCACTTGTGAACTTTTCACATTTGAACACTGACTATGGGGTGAAGAGCTGTTTCTTCAGAAATTCTCAGAGTAGCTAGAGTTCTCTCTTTTAATTGCCCAACCATGGTTGGGGTGAGGGTGGGACTTTCTGGATGAGATAGCTCTGAAATATCTGAATATAAGGAGGGAGTTCCATACAATGAGGCCACAGATAGAGCTGACAGGTAGAGAGAATGGTCAGGAGAAGAATTAAAGGCCAGAAAACACTCAAAGGAAATGAGAAGACCTAATCTCAGCAGGAGCCAAAATATCAGTATCAAACACTAATTGAACACTGATGTATGCACAACAGTGGTCTTGGTACAAAGGAGAGAGATACAAGCTACAGCTTTTGCTCTGAATGTGTTTATGGCTTGACTAAGAAAATATAATACAGATATAAAGTAATTTGATGTTTAAAATAACCAGATTACAGTTACAGTGTGACCTTGGGCCTGACACAGTCTAAGCCTCCAATTCCTTATCTGTACAACAGAGAGAATACAATTCACTTTACAAGATTAATGAAGATTAGATGAGATAATGAACACAAAAGCGCTCTATAAACTGCAACACTTCACGTGAGGTAATATATTATTAATTTTTAAGATAGGCAACAATATAAGAAGCACAAAATCACCAACTGAAAAGCCCATATGGTAATTATAATCCAAAATATAGCAAAGAACATAGCATCACTTTTCTTTGCCCTGGATACAGTGGATCACAATGGCAACTTTGTATTGCTGTTGTTTCATTTCTAGAGAGAATAAAGCTTGCTGGAAAAAAAAAAAAAAACAAAACAGCCTTGCCCCTGATTCACTGATACTATATACCTTTCAACAATACATACACACCAAACCAGACAGCCTAAAAAGCACAGTATAAGATAAAACAGGTCTGCTGATTCAAAAAGAGCTAAGTTGAGAAAAAGTAGCAACAGAAATGAAAGAAGGTAAAGCTATAATGCAGTGAGAAAACAGATCAAAAGCAACAGAAAATCTGGGAGAGCAACTATCAGATAAGATCTTGTATTTGCTCCTGAGGTAGAAGAACCTGAGTTAAGTCTGGGAAAGGGGCAGAACATTTTCAAGCATATGAAAGTTCACTATGAACACCACTGACACACTGCTGTTACTCTCTGACAAAGACAGAACAGGAGAAAATGGGCCTAAGGTGCAGTGAACCAGAAGATATCTCAAGGTCTCTTCTATTTCTCTCAATATTTCTAACCACTTAATAATGTGTCTGACATTAAGAATCAATCACAATTATTAAGAGTCTGGCAAAAATAAAACAATCAAGAATTTTCATTTAAAATTCAGTATTTCATGACAGGTGAGAGTGAAATACCACACACACACAAATAACACAATGCATTTTTTTATTTAAAAAAAAAAGGCTTCAAGGCCACTCAACTTTTTAATAATAAAGTCCACACTTCTTGGTTTGAATTTAAAGACCTCCATAATATGGCCCAACTGACCTTCCCATTCTCTCCTCAATCTTTCCTTAAACAAACTCTACCCTCTAGCCATGTTGGTTGACTTACTAACTCCTTGAAAATACCAACACAGGAGGGAATGCAGTTATGCCTGGAAAACTGATCTTCCATTCATCTTGTCTCAGGTAACCTGGAGAAATGTGCTGCAATTATAACTACTAGGCAGGCAGGCAGAGTCTCCAGAAAATTTAGGAGGGCCTAAGAGAATATAAAAAGACCTTCAGAATGACAAGGTATACCTTCTGAGCAATCAGAGAGTATCTTTATCCCCTTTACACATACTATTGCAGTGGTGCACCCTCATGGGAAACTTAAGGACCAAGAGAAACTATCCATCTGCCCATCATGCTGAAGTCCAGTTCTATGAGTCATCTCATGCAATTTTTCAACATTTACTTGCATTAAAGAATCTTATACCCTATGACTGCTATTTGTCAATTACCATCACCATTCTGATAACTTCCACTCTTGATTATCCCTCTTCCTTTTTCAATCAAAATAAAATAAAATCACTTCTAGCAGTTACATGTTGATCAGCTCATAAATGGGAATGTTTACCCTATTTTTGCTCCATTCCAAATACTGTGAACCCTCAATGCTCAATGCCAGGCTTATCCCTCTGGAAAACTTTTCTAACACCCAAGATTATAGGGCTTCCCTACCACCTCTAAATGTCTTCAGCCATGTAGGTAGGGAAATATCAAGTTCTATTTATGCTGCAAAGGATAAATATCATAATAATTAAGCTCTATGCATTTTATCTCCCTCCATTGTCCTCATATCATTATATGAACCACTTATTCTGTACTTACTAAATATCAATATTCACAGATCAATAATGTGACTGGTAAACCAAACCCATAAAATAATGTATAGAATTTTTTTGTGGTCATGTATTTTCCAGGAAAGAGAGTCAATAGCTTTCAACAAATTTGGGGGGAAAAATGCAAGTACTCCCTCCCCACAAAGGTTAAAAATATTCCTCTACAGAGTTTTAAGATCTCCTCTTTGTATTTTCTATATACTTTTGTCCACTCTCTTCAGTGAGTCTACAGACTGCAGACCAGACTCTGCATTCTTTTCCTGGCTTATCATACTGCCAGAGGCCTCTACAGAGCTGAAATATAATCAACAGGTTATGGGACACTTTATATCTGAGGTAAAGCCTGAATATGGAAAATGAGAGAGCTATGTACAAAGGAGGATAAATTTCAAGTGAAGTGAAAAAGATAACCTGTTTAAACCTAAAGCTGTATTTAAAATGATTGAAAAATTATAAAGCAGAGAGTAAGAAAATATTACTATAGGAGAAAGGATGTGGAAATTTGTGGAAAGCCACCATTGCATATTTAAAACATCCACAAATGTAGAATACAGACATGTGGCAAGAAAGAGTTTTGGTGAAAGATCAAGAGGCTTAACTTCTAAAAGGCTCTGCCCCTGTTAATCCTGAGCAAGTTATTCAAACTCTTTGAGTTTTCGATTTCATAACTATTAACTGAGGGTGATGGATAAGAAGGTCTTAGAATTCTAACATTTTATGATTCTATATTTTTAAAGATTTGTTTATATACAGGGCTAGACAAAAAAGCAGAACTTGATGATGGTCAAAATGTACGAACTTGCAGTTACAACTTCTGTAGATCTAACATACAGCATGGTGACTATATTTAGTAATAATGTATTGTATACCTTAAGTTTGCTGAGAACAGATCTTAGGTATTCTTAATACACACACACACACACACACACACACACACACACACACACGGTAACTGTGAGATGAGATGATGAATATGTTAATTAGCTTGTGATAATCATTTTAAGATGTATTCAAATACTTGCTCACACAGATAAACAAGTTTTTGCTAAAAAATCATGCAACCGTCAGTGGCCAACTCGTAGTGTCCTCACTAAACTCACCCTCTGGCACTTACCACTCATTTCTTGGGGGTTCTCTTGGGGAAGCTGTGGAGGCTCACACTTCAGGGTGGTTGTACCAGGCAGGAGCTGGAGGCTCTGATGCTCCAAAGAAACTCCTTGATATTCTGTCACCATTAGGTGCATGTCCTGTCTCTGAATGTAGACAGAGGCCTGGAGACAAGAGATTTTCCTTGATAAGGCATCCTAGTGGGAACTAGAACAAATAGCTATTAGGGACTTCTCCAAGGGAACATAGGTCAAATCCCATTTAACCCTTTAAAGAAGCAGTAAGTAAGACAGAGACACCCATTCATTTGGCAAATATGGACTGCATGCCTTCTAAAAGTCAAACCCTGTTCTACATGCTAGGGATACAGCAATAAACAAACCTGACAAGAGAGCCAAAGGGTCCCTGCCCAGAAAAACAAAAACAAAAAAACAGAAACAAAAAACAGATGGATGTTTAAACTAGTTGGTGAAAGTTTAATAAGAAATAGAATATGTATTCTGTCTCAAAATGTCTCCCCAAAATTCCTTAGAACTTACAAAGAGGGCCAGCCTTGGTGGTTCGGCCTGTAATCCTAGCATTTTGGGAGACTGAGACAAGTGGATTGCCTGAGCCTGCGGGTTCAAGACCAGCCCGGGCAACTTGGCAAGACCTCATCTCCACAATAAACAAAAAACTAGCCAGGTGTGGTAGCGCATGCCTGTAGTCACAGCTACCTGGAAGGCTGAGGCGGAAGGATCGCTGGAGCCCAGCACATCGATGCTGGGGTGGCTGTGAGTATGCCACTGCACTCCACCCTGGGCAACAGAGTGAGACTCCAACTCAAAAAAGAAAAAGAAAAAGAAAAAGAAATTACCAAGAGATAAATGGCAACTTTCTAGTGAAGACATCTGACAAATACCACCATAACCTCATGAGTAATGGGACAAACCATCACCATGCACCTCCTGAAGTCATGTACTAAGGAGAACACAACATTATCTTTGTGACATTCTAGCCAAAATGTACAACCTGGATCTAATCATGAGAAAATATAAGAGAAACCCAAATTGGGGACATTCTCTTAAAAAAAAGCCAAAAACACCGGGCTGTACTCTTCAAAAATAACAATGTTATGACAAAGAAAGGCTGAACAACTACTTCAGATTCACAAACATAAAGACATGGCAACTAACTGCAATGTGTCATGCTGGCTTGTATCCTGGATTAGGGAAAAACTACATAAAGAACACTACCGGGACAAGATTTGACTAAGGAATTAGTGTTATATGATAGTACCATAACAATTTTAACTTCCTTAAACTTGATCACTGTATTCTGGCTATATAAAAGAATGTTCTTGTTCTGCAGAAATACACACTGACGTGTTTAGAGGTAAGGAGACATAACGTCTATAACTAACACTCAAATGGTTTGAGGAAAAAATACTGTATGTGTGTGTACGTATGTGTGTGCACGTATGTGTGTATCCATATACATATGCATACAAAGAGAAAGAGGGAAAATGTATTTGCTTGTGTACAAGTGTACACCATGAGGGGGACACATCACGGACAAATGTTAACAACTGGGTAATATGGGTGAAGAGTATATAGGGGTTCTCTAAACTACTCTCTCCATACTTCTGTAAGTTATAAATTACTTCAAAATAAAAAGTTGAAGGCTGGGCTCGGTGGCTCAGCCTGTAATCTCAGCACTTTGGGAGGCCGTGGCAAGTGGATTGCCTGAGCCTGTGGGTTCGAGACCAGCCCGGGGAACTTGACAGACCTTGTCTCTACAATAAATAAAAAATTAGCCGGTGTAGTAGTACGCGCCTGTAGTTCTGGCTACTTGGAAGGCTGAGGCAGAAGGATCACCGGTGCCCAGCAGGTCGGCACTGGGGTAGCCACAGCACTCTAGATTGGGTGAGAGTGAGACACCAACTCAAAAAAAAAAAAAAGTTGAGAATTAACAGATAAATGTTTCTCTTTCTTCTCCCACACCATACACGTTCTCCTCTCACCTGCTGACCTTTGTCTCCACTTCTTGTATTTAAGTTCTCCAACACTGTCACTGCCTCCTCCCCACTCTCCAGAGGACATGACTTCACAGAGGCCTGGAGTTCTTCAGGCAGGATGATTAGGAACTGCTCCAGCACCAGCAGCTCCAGGATCTGCTCCTTAGTGTGCATCTCTGGCCTCAGCCATTCATGGCAAAGTTCTCGGAGTTGGGCCAGAGCCTCACGGGGCCCAAGAACCTCTTGGTAGCAGAACTGCCGAAAGCGCAGGCGGCAAAGTTCCTGAGTGTGGGAGCTGCCCTCTTGTGAGTTGCACACCTGCTCCCAGGTGGGATCTTCCTCCTTCACTTTCACAAGGCCATCTTCATTTTCAGGAACAGGGCCTGACAGGGCCTGTTCATACATTTTGAGCTTAGAGGCTAGAAAAAGATTCACTTAACTGGGGGCTGATGTTTAGAAATTTACATCTGAGGCATAAGAATTGATCAGTAATTTGCAAATTACAAGAGCTTCAAACTCTATGTAACCTACTGATATTTTTGTTCCCTCTGTAACAGCAAAAGCTAAGCCTGTTTGCTTCTACTGTCAGTGAAATGAATGAGAAGTATATTTTGGACACTAAAGGAGTTGAGTCCAGAGGTAGGTAAGGGATGTAGGATATGGGGGAAGAAAGGCTAACAATTACGAATGCTTGAGCAGCTTACACTTTAGCTGGGGAGAAGGGATAATTTTACCCATTGAGGAGCCACATGGTTGCCTTCATGAACAAATAATACAGTTTCAAAGGTCATCTGTGTCTGTGAATTTCTCACTGAATATTCCACTTTAAATGTAGGTGTGGTAGATTGTTTCCAAAGTCTCCTATCCTCAAATGCTTTTTGTGATGAGATTTTGACAAACTTCAACAAGGGGTGGAATCTATTTTTCCTTCCCTTGAATCTGTGCTGGCCTATTACTTGCTTTGAGCAATAAAATATGGCAGAAATGACATTTTAAGAGGAAGTGCTCCTGTATCCCTTAACACACTATCACAAGGCTCCCATGCTGTGGGGAAGCCCAAACTAGCCACACAGAGTGGTCATTTGGATGAGAACCAAGATGCTCAAGCTAAAGCCCAGGTGGGCCTAGATCCCAGATGATTCACCAGCTGAATGCAGCTATATGATTAACTTCGGGTGAGATCAGCAGTAGAACTGCCCAGTCAACCCACAGAATCCTGAGAAATAATAAGCTGAGGTTATTTTCAGTCACTGATATAAGAATTTTATTTTTGATGCAACAGTATATAACTGAAACGATATATAACTGAAATATGAATCAAGTTCTTCTCTCTTCACTTTTTCCTTTTGTGATCTTGTTAGTCACAATTTCAATATATTTCTATGCCAAGAAGACTCAAATCCCTGTCTGGCTCCAACTTGCCTTTCACACTCCAAACCTATATCTTGAAATGCCAGCAGCTGTGGGCCTCTATTGCACTATAATTTCAACATATCTAAAACTGAAATCAAAGTTTCTCAAAGTTGTGCTCATTCTGTATTTCTCCATTTCTACCGGCATTACCATCAACTTCCATTGCATTGCTATAAAACCATTCCCTAAATACAATTACTGTGAGTCCAGTCAATTCTTTAAAATGCCTCTTGCAGCCTTCCTTCCTTTTTATTCCCTTATGTACATTTTCATTTGCTCTTACAATAATTTTCTCTGTGGTATTCCTGCCTGACTCCCTCACACCCCCCAGCATTATCGAATTAATATTTCCTAAAGCACAGCTCCCACCAAATTCAACATATCTCCCAGACATAAAAAACTGTAATTACTCCTCATTGAACTAAATTCAAACTCCACAAGATCTGATCTTTACTGGGTTTTAATAGTTTGTCACTCAGTAAACATTTATGGAATACCTCATTAATTTCCAGGCATAAAGCTAACTCTGGAATAAAAGACATAGTTTTTACCTTCAAAACGGCCATGGTCTTCCCAAACTCCGCATGTCACACAAATTTGGTCCACCCACTTTATAGTTTACAAGAAGGACCACCCTTCTAACGGGAAATTCCCAAGGCTAGTGCAAATGCCTATGTAAAGCCTTCCCAGGCCACACCCAAACTTCATGTGCAGACAGGAACAACTGTTCTGTTGTCTAAGCCACACAGGAAGAGATGGGGGTGTTCTCAGAGAAAACTGCACTGCACCCACTCACCCCCATCTCTCTCCAATTGGTATTACAGATCACCCTCACCCCACCCCACCCCTGCTTCTTGAGAACAGGGGTTTATGTCTGCATAGACTCTACAGGCTCAGCACATACCTGGGAGTGGGCTTCGTGATGAATGCACGTAGATGTACCTGAGCTGCACACTCTGGCGGGTCCAGAATGTGTATTTCTGAAAGTAGACCCTAGCACAGCGCCTGGCACGCAGTAGGCACTCAATAAGTGTGTGTGTCTAACTGTTGGTCAATGGGCAAAAAGTTCAGGGAATGTGCACAACAAAGACGTGCCCGACCTCGTGAAAGACTCCCACGGAAGAGCAGAGGCTCCGGCCTTCACAAGAGTGCAGCGCCCCCCAGCTTCCCCAGAACCCGGGCCTCTGGCGCCGCTCGGCTGGCGGGTTTCGTCGGCGCTACGGGCAGACGGGCCGAGGTCGAAGGTCTCTTCTCACCGCCGGCAGCCGAGTCGCGGAGTCTGGCCGATTCCGTGCTTCTCTAGGAACGCAGCCGCTCGACTCTCTGGTGAGCCGGGAGGACCCGTGCTGCCACCTCCCGCCCAGCCCAGGCATCTCTTCGCTGCCCGACCCCAGGCCCTTTCGGACGGCCCTCGCACACCCTACGTTATGTCGAATCATTTCAGGTAAAACCCAACAGCATGGTAAAGACACAGGTGAATCTCTTTCTTTGGGATCCTCAAAGATGGTGGGAGGGACATATCAATAAACAATTACAGCAAGTAGTACAAATTATATTATTTTCTTTAAGCATACAGATTATACATGCACAATAAAAAAAAAAAAAAAAAAAAAACTCAAGCTGCACAGACTATAAAACGAAGTGCCCTGCTCCTTAGAGTTAACCATTGTTAATATTTTGTGTATATTTTCCCAGGACACTGCCTGCCACACAGTAGCACTTAATAAACATTTTGTTTAGTGAATAAGTATGTATTATATACGTATTTTTAGACACAGTGTAATTTTGCACCTTAGCTCTTTTCAGTTAAGATGGCTTGGAGATTTTTCCATATCAATTTATTTGGTATCATAATTGACAGAACTATTTCTAATGATGTATACTTAAGTTATATTTTTTCTTTAAAAGCAAAGTTGTGGGGAACACCATTCAATAGCGTTACATTCTTTTATAAGTATATTTCTAGGATAAATACCACACATCAGAACTGATCAGACAAAGGCATTTTAAATGCTGATATGCAAATTACCTATTTAATTTTCAAAGGCATTTCTCTTTAAGGAGACTCTAATGGAAAAATCAGTAAAGGAAGTGGTCATGGCTATTCACAAAATCAAATTAATAAGTGATAGGTTAACATTTGAAAAGATGTTCAATTCAATAGGAAAAATATAAAACTCCCTTTTAAAAACAGACCCATAGCCAGGGTGGTGGCTCACACCTGTAATCCCAGTGCGTTGGGAGACTGAAGTGGGAGGATTGCTTGAGGCTAGAAGTTTGAAAACCAGCTTGGGCAACACACCGAGACCCCGTTTCTTAAAAAATTAGCTGGAGTGGTAGCATGTGCTTCTAGTTTTTCCTCCTCCAGAGGCTAAGAACATCACTTAAGCCCAATAGTTCAAAGCTGTAGCGAACTATAATTTCATCACTGCACTTCAGCCTGGGTGATCCAGTGAGACCCTGTCTCTACAACAAACAAACAAACAAACAAATAAACAAAAAACCAGATCTATTATTTATCCATTTACTGACTGAAGGACATCTTATTTTCCTTTGAGTTTTGGCAATTATGAATATAGCAGCTATAAACATCTGTGTGCAGGTTTTTGTGTGGAAATATTTTCAGCTCCTTTGGGTTAATAACAAGGAGGGTGATTGCTAAATCATATGGTAATATTCTGTTTAATTTTGTAAGAAACCATTAAACTGTTATCCAAAGTGGCTGTTTCATTTTGTATTCCCGTGAATAATGAATGAGAGTACCTGTTGCTCCACATCCATACCAGCATTCGGTGGTGTCAGTGGTCTGGATTTTGGCCATTCTATTAGTTATAGGTATGTAGCGGCATTTCATTTCCCTGATGGCATATGATGCAGTGTATCTTTTCATATGCTTATTTGCCACCTGTATATTTTCTTTAATGGTGTGTCTGTGAAGGTCTTTGGCTTTTTTCCCACTTTTTTAAACAACTTTTTTCTATATTTTGGATAATAGTCCTTCAACAGACATGTCTTTTACTGTCATATATCTGGGCAACGATATATTATTCATTGCTAAAAAGAAATGTGCTACCATGCCGTGAAAAGACATGAAGGAAACTTAAATGCATATTACTAAGTGAAAGAGGTCAATCTGAAAAGACTACATATTGTAGGATTCCAGCTACAGGTTAAGTACTCTTTATTCAAAATACTTGGGCCCATATTTCAGATTTTTTTTGGATTTTGGAATATGTAACATAATGAAATATCTTATAGATGGGATCCAAGTCTAAATATGAAATTCATATTTGCCTTATAAACATAGTCTGAAGCTAATTTTATACACTGCTTTAAATAATTTTGTGCATGCAACCTGTCACATGAATTCAGGTGTGAAAATGTCCCACTTTTGATATCATGTTCATGCTCAAAAAGTTTCAGATTGTGTCCAGGTGTGGTGGTTCACACCTGTAATGTCAGCACTTTGGGAGGCTAAGGCAGGAGGATTGCTTGAGCTCAAGAGTTTAAGACCAGCCTAGGCAACATAGTGAGACCTCATCTCTACAAAAAAAAAAAAAAAGTGCTGGGTGTGGTGGTGCACCTATAGTCCCAGTTACTCAGGAGGCTGAGGTGAAAGGATTGCCTGAGCCCAGGTTGAGGCAGTAGTGAGGCCTAATGATGCCACTGCACTCTAGCCTGGGTGACAGCGACCCCAGTTCAAAACAAACAAACAAGTAAAAAGTTTCAGATTTTAAAGCATTTTGAATTTTCAGATTAGGGATGTTCAACCTGTATATGACATTCTAGAAAAGCAAAATATAAAGATGTAAAAGAGATCTGTGGTTGCCAGAGGTTGGGAGACAGGGAGGGATATAGGTGAAGCACAGGGGCAGTGAAACTACTCTGAATGAAATTATAATGGTGGATATATGTTATTATGTATTTGTCCAAACCCATAAAATCTACAACACCAAGAGCAACCCTAATGTATACTATGGTCTTTGGGTGATAATGTATCAGTGTAGTTTTATCAGTTGTAACAAATTCACTCTGGCAAGGGATGTTGATAATGGGGGAGGCTATGCATGAGTGGGAGCAGGGAGTACATGAAAAATCTCTGTACCTTCCTCTCAATTTTGTTATGACTTAAAACCACTCTAAAAATGAAGTATATTAAAAAAAAAATAAAAGCAATCCATTTTTTTTTACATATAAGATTGTCAAATATTCAAAAGAATAATTCCCAGAGTTGATGTGGATGTGGGAAATTGGGCATTATCACAGGCTGCTAATAGAATATACAGATTGGTGTAACTTTTCTGGAGGGCATTCTGGCAAATGCATGAAGTCTTAGAAATAAGCCTACCCTCTACCTCACTGTCTCTCATTATGGAAATTGAATGAAGAAAACAAATTCTACCAGTGAGCAAAGTTATATGTACAAGGATGTTTACTGGAAAATTGTTTCCGGTGACAAAACTATAAATGACCTAAATGACCAACACTAGAGACATATACTATGGAACCCTGTGGTACTTATATAGAAAATTATCTCCTATGGAGACTTCTAATGATCTGTATTTCTCAATGAGGGATTTGTTTGAAATTTTTAGTAGAAGGAAACAGGAGTATTCTATGGACTCCTAGGACCAGGATGTAGACGGATCTCAGAAGCTGAGGGCTGAAGTTGCTATTCCTGAGTTTCTCTGGGCTGTCATGGGTAACCCACATCAGCAGTTGGCTTCATTCTTTTACTTCTTGGTTCCTCTACTTGGTCTTTATGTGGTCACAAAAATTGTTCCAGTTCCATATTATTTTCTAGCTCAAATGCCTAAAAAAGACTAACCAGAATCTGTGATCTAATGTCAAATTCCTACAGGTATCTAAATGGCCAAATCTAGTTGAGGTCTCCTTCTGATCCAGTCATCAGTAGCCAGAGAGGGGCCATATGGTAGCCTGCCCACTCAGGATCATGGCAGGACCAGAGTAGAATTGGGTGGGCCAACAGACACACTGACTATCCCGTCTGCTACAAATGAAAACTATTTATGATACGTTTAAAGTCCAGTGAGAGAAGTCAAGTGTTTCTGTGCATAAAAAGATCAGTATTTTAGAATATATATTAAGAGATTATATCTGTAGCATAAAACAAGGTGATCTTTTATTTTTCAAGTTTTTTTTACAGTGACTATGAACTTATAAATATGTAATAATTTATTTAGATATAATATGGACAATTAGGGTAATTTTTTCCCTTTCCTATTTTTCCATACTACTTTTATAATAACAAACTACAGGTGAATGAGAAATGGAGACATGTAGAAATTTTCCATTCCACTCTATATTTAGGTATTACAGGATAGTACTCTAACAGAAATGCCTGATCAATAGAAAATATTGTTGCAATATATCTCTCCTGGGTTACTACCCTCTGATTAGATTTTTTCAGGTATTTTACAAGACAAGGAAAACCTTGAGATTTGTTATGACATTAGCCCTTTGTTCACTGTTTCTATACTTTTTAAGGATAAAGAATAATATTATTAAGTATACCTCTATGTGACATTTATGCCCATGTGGGTATAGATTTGCTTCAAGGGAAATGATAAGAATATTATTTCCTTTGGAACTGTAAGGAAAAGTTAAGCTGTTTAAGGTTTCAATGAATTTAGAATGTTTATACTTGTTCTATAAAATCATTAGAGAAAGCCAAGATATATTTTCCAGATAATTAAGGGTATACTGTAGAGTTTTTCATATTTTGAATCCTTTAATTTTCACTGCTTTTACACAATAAAGATTATCCTATGTGCTTTCCTTATTAAATGGATCAGAATCAAATAGATTCTGATCCATTCTGATCCAAACTATGACATGGAGCTAAGTGTTGAGGTATTGACCTCAATATAGCCCTCAAAATACTTGGGGGAAGAAGTCCTGAAATCACTTAATTTTACTCACAAAGGCAGAAAAAAAAAGATACATAGCTTTATGGCTTCCAAAGCAACAGACTACAACTGACTTTACATGAAACCTTTTATTGTCTCAAAAAGTTACAGCTGCTTCTCCCACAGATTTTTTTCTCCTTCCAGGAAATCGTATTAACTGTTGCTTCTGGTCAGCTTGCACCCAGTCATATCAGAGCAGGAAGGAAAAGAAAGTGGGCCAAAGACTGCTGAAGTGCCTAGTCCAACATTCATTCTCCCCTTTATCCTCAGTGACAAGCCTAATTTTCAGTTGGGCACTCTGCAATTCAGAATAAGACATACTTTTCAGCCTTCCTTTCCTAACTTTTGCTCTATCACATATATGCTAAGTGATTTCTGGCGAGTACTCAAAGGGAGCTGACTGAACTAGAAGGAGCCTCTTTTTGTACTGCCTTTTGTCCATATTTTGCTGTGAAGCTGAAGCTTCAGCAGCCATGTAGTATGGACTAATTATCTACAGCCTTTTTCCTGTTAGAGAGAAAAAGAAACTTTGAAGTCATTCTTTTTTTTTTTTTAATTATATGCAGCTGAACCTAGTCCTAGTCACTACATAAAGGTTCACCAATCTTCCCATACTGGTGACTGAGAAGTCTTCTCCAGACTTGCTGTTACCATCAATTTGTAAGTGATGTTTATTACCTTGGTAGTATGTTTTGAAGTGGACTTCCCTAAGTGTAAAATTCTTCTTAATTACTGTGACATTCTGGTATTCATGATATAAAGATCATGACCTCATCTTCAAGCTTTAACTTTCAAAGTTCCAGAACAAGCAACATGTAAAAACTATATTATCCAGTTACTTGGAAGGCTGAGGTGGAAGGATCGCCGGAGCCTAGCAGGTCGAGGCTGCGGTGGCCGGGAGTGGCCACTGCACTCCAGTCTGGGCGACAGAGTGAGACTCCAACTCAAAAAAAAAACAACAAAAAACTATATTATTGATATTAAAGGAAAAGATCCAATTTCTTTCACTGAACATTTATTGAATAGTGTCTATGCAGCAGCCACTATATTGGCACTGGGGTTATTAAGTAAGATAATTGCTTCTGAATTAATTCAGCACAGCGCAAATGACTTGTGAAATCTCTTCCACAGTCTAAGTAAAACATTGATTTATAACCTGAATCATGAGATAATGTTGTTGGAGCAGGGATAGGAAATGATAAAATTATATGAAGCTAACCCTGAAAGAAAGTTCTAAAGTTAACCAACTAAAGATTATCTTTGCTCTTCAAAATTCTTCCATTGCTTGTGGGCTGAAGAAGGTGGGGGTAAGGCTAGTGGGAGAGGTGGGCTGAAGCTAGTGAGGAAAATGTTCACCATTAACCATTAAGACGTCTTTGAGAGTAGTATATTTCTAAACATCAAGTTTTATTTTATAGAAGTCTGTTACTATAGTATATGTAAAAATATCAATCTCTCCTTGTTCTGCTCAAGCCTAAAAGTCTCTAGCACTTGATTCACTGCTGACTTCAAAGCCCTCACTCCATTCTGAGGCTTTCTACTGCTCAGAGGTACACCATCATGTATTCATTACTTTAAAAGTTCCAAGAAGTCCTGCAGAAAGAATACTATTTAACTTTGATCCCATAGTGCCATCTAGGGTGAAATTATTGTGGTCCAAAGCTGACTTCAAGGAAACAAAGGAGAGGGAATGGAGGCAGATAGCCTCCAACTCAGTAACCGAGAATTCTCTGATGCCAGAGTGGGCTAAAGTGACTTTTCCTTAAGTGCTGTTTGCTGGTCAATGTGCCCTCTTTGATGTCTCACAAGGAGACAATACCTCATCAAGCCAGTTTATCTTTGTGGTGATATCTTTGATGTTGAAAAAGACCTGACCTCTGCCTGAAGGCTTCTCCACATTCATTACACTCATAAGGTTTTTCTTCATTGTGGATTCTTACATGCTGAGCGAGGTGTGAGTTTAGTCGGAAGGCTTTCTGGCATATGTTACACTTGAAAGGTTTTTCTCCAGTGTGAATCCTGTGATGTCGAATAAGGTCTGAGGTCAAACTGAAAGCTTTTCCACACTCGTTACATTGATGGCTTTTGGAGTGGCTGTGAATTCTCTGATGGTGGGTGAGTAGTAGGGCCTGGCTAAAGATCTTTCCACATTCCTTGCACTCACAGGGCTCCTCTTGACTGTGAATTCTCTGGTGTCGATTAAGGTGAGAGCTGCGCCTGAAGTTTTTTCCACAATGGATACAGAGATAAGGTTTCTCTCCAGTGTGGATCCTGAGATGTTCCAAAAGGCCTGCATTCTGGCTAAACACTTTGCCACACTCCTTGCACTGATAAGGCTTCTCACCAAGATGGATTTTCTGATGTCTGATGAGGTGTGAACTCCTCTGAAAGGCTTTCCCACACTCTTGACACTGATGACCTTTCTCTTTAGAGAGGATTTTCTGTTGTTCAGTAACACTAGAACCCTGATGCACTTCAGATTCACAGAGTTTTTCTCCTGTGTGGGCATTCCCATGTTCTACCAGGTCTGAGTCCTGGGTGAATCCCTCCCCATGTTCTGAGCACTTATAGTCAGTCTTGTCTTTGGGCCTGGCCTGCTGCATTTCCAAGTTAGAGTCCTCATAATGATCTTCCATGGATTCAGATATTTTCCCATATGATTCCACTCTTCCACAAGACTCTGTCACTATAAGCTTCCCATTCTCAATCCTTGTCTCTTTACCTGAAACATTAAATATGTACCATCAATTACTTGTTTTTTAGATGCTTAGGGGAAAGAGTCTGAAACTAAGAGGAAAAAATTTAAATGAAGGCATTTGTGCAAAGCAAAAGCGTTGTAGATGCTTGTGTTGAATGATACATAAGAAACTGTTAACTGTAATCGCCTTTGGAGAAGGATGGGAGGATTGTGGTAGATGACTTATTTTAAATGGTTTAAATTTTATCGTGTGATTCACACCACACACAGAGAAGCTGGAAAGCAAGCAAACAAAAAATATGTCTTAAAGGGCATATTTTTGAAAAGATTTGTCACATAAAAATAAAAAAGTAGGTTAATTGAGGACCCTGAGACCAATAGGAAAGGGATGGCATTTTAACTGAAAATGAAGAAACGTAGATGTGGTGCCAATTTTATCACTGGCTATCTGCATAATCTTAGAGAGGTAATTTAAATACTCTGGGCTTAGTGTCCTCTTCAATAAATTAAAAAACACTGGACCATAAGACCTTGAGAACAGCACAAGTTTATGAAATGCCTTGGCCTTTCTTTTCTTTTTTTTAATGAGTCAGGGTCTCACTCTCACCCAGGATGGAATGCAGTGGCACAATCACAGCTAATCACAGCCTCAAGCAATCTCCCCTCCTCAGCCTCCAGAGTAACTGGGACTACATGTATGTGCCACCACACCTTGCTTGCTTGCTTTCTCATTCATTCATTCATTCATTTAGTAGAGATGAGGTCTTGCTATGCTGCCCAGGTTTGTCTTAAACTCCTGGGATCAAGCAATCCTCCCACCTTGGCCTCCTAAAGTGTTGGGATCACAGGTAGGAGCCACCACGCCTGTACCATAGCCTTTTCTGATCTCTTTGGAGGCAAGAGATCTTTTTTTTTTATTATTCACCTCTAAGGTAAGGGCAAGAAGAGAAAAATGAAGGTCCAAATTCCCTTTAAACCCTTTCCTTGGTCTTCTGTTCAACTAAAATATTTGGGGTGATAGAAATATTTTATATCTTGAGTGTTGTGCTGATGAGGCCACAGTTATTTCATATTTGTGAAAACTCATGGACCTGGTATACTTACAGTGAATTTTACTGTATGTAAATTGTGCTTCAGTAAATCTGACTCAAAAGAAAAACAAAGAACAAAACACAAGAGTGCCAAGCAAAGCATCAGAGGGAACTGCACAGCCCACTTCATCACACATGCAAGATGTAATCTAGTTCTTACCCTTCTCTTTCTCAGGCTTTGTAACTTCACACTCAGGCTGAACCTGCTGCTCCTGTACTGCTTTTAGAGAGGCTGTTTCTTCCACAACCAGTTTTTGCTTCTTTGCTTTATCTGGGTCCTAGGGACAATTAGGTACATGTAGGGATAATTAGGTAGGGTTTAGGAAACTACTGTTTAGGAAAACATTTAAATTCCAGAAAAAACAAACAAAAACAAAGAGAAATCCTAAAGGGGCAAAGAAAAGGGGATGAAGAATCTGGAGCATGTTCAGTTTTTTCCTAGCAAAGGACAGGTAAGATTGAAGTAAGACCTAAAGAAATAAACAGCCAGGCTGGAGAGAAACTAAACCGAAGTTTAGCAATATTCCTCCTATTGGTGAGCTCATGTCCACCTGTTTGGCCAGAGACCTCAACTCCTGCTTTCCTGCAAAAGAAAACATGACCCTTACCACCTGTTGTTCTGTTCCTCCAAGCTCCAGCTGCAAATCCTCCAGAACAACAACCACATCCTCCCCACTCTCTGGGTGATGCTCCTGCACCCGGTTCTGCAGCTCCTCAGGCAAGATGGTCAGAAACTGCTCCAGCACCAGCAGCTCCAGGATCTGCTCCTTGGTGTGTGTCTCAGGTTGCAGCCACTGTCGGCAGAGCTCCCGAAGCCGGCTCAATGCTTCTCGAGGTCCTGCTGTCTCTTCATAGCGCAATTGCCTGAATTGTTTGCACAATGGCTCCTGTCCAAGGCCTTTGCTGTTTCCTTGCAGCTTAAATCCCCGTTCCCAAGTCGAGTGGTGATCCTCCCTCACTACCCGAAGTCCCTCCTTCTTCAGATTCAGTGGAGCCAGGGAATGGGCACTCACCAGTGCTGTTGCCATCCCCAGCTTCAGACTGCTTTCTCTGTTTTGGAGAACTTTCTTTCGTATTTCAGAGATATTCCTAAAAATATAATAAGAGCCATAGAAACAGTGATAGTACTAGTAACAACAGCAATAACACCCTTTCGGGTTTACATATTTCCTAGTTTTTTTCTGTTTGAAACAACAATTCCTAAATACACATAAAACTGAAAAAAACTCTTGTGTTACAGAAGACTGCCAGCTAACGTAGCAGGAATAACAGACTCCAACTCAAATAAAATTTTTTTTTAAAAAATCACCATTTTACAGCCCTCAAGACAACCGGTTCAGTCAAGGACCAAAACTGGTTGCAAAACCACTAAGTGGAAGACCTGGGGGAACAGGACATTCTCACAGTCTCAAACAATCACCATGCTAATTGTTTATTAATTACAAAGAGAAAAATGAAGATATTTGACATCACATGCTTTATCATATGTTTAGAATTTCCACTAAAAATTTTTAGCATGAATCTAATAATAAGCAAATTTTCAGATAAAACCAGAATGCAGCTTGGTTTCCCAAAGTGCTGGGATTACAGAAGTGAGCCACTGCACCCAGTCCCTTCACTTAAAAGATAAGTGAAGCTGAGTGCAGTGGCACACACCTAGCTACTCAGGAAGTTGAGGTGGGAGGATCACTTGAGCCCAGGAATTTGAGTACAGCAGCCCGGGCAACATGGCAAAAACCTTTCAAGAAAAAAAAAAAAAAAAGTGAAAGTCAGACAGAGAAATAGGAAAAGGATTTTTTGTTGTTTTTTGTTTTTCAGACAGAGAGAAAAGTCTGAGCATAGAGCTGTTGGATGTTCAGTATAGTAGTTAGTTATGGCTGAGAAAAGGTTATGTGGAGCCAAAATCCTGGGAAATATCTACACATAAGGAAGAAAAATAAGAAGGAACAACTGGAAAGGTAGGAGGACAACAAAGACTATAGTATCCAGAAGACCAAGGAGATGTAGTTCTGTAAGTGTAGAGTGGTAGAAAAAGCCTGACCCCAGGTAGGCCTGGGTTCCAATTCAGCCCTGTTATTTAAAGCTGTGATCTTGGGGAAGTTACCTATCTCCTTGGAAACTTGTTTACTCATTTGTAAAATGAAGATAATACCTAATTCAAAGAAGTTTTGAGGTAAATGAGGAGGAATTCATTGATTTATATGTGAAGCAATAAGATGGCAGCATTCAAGCATGTAAAATACTGTAAGAATGGATTAATCTAAAGCTTGACATACCCATTTGATTAAAAAATACAGATGTATTAATCTAAAATCTGACATACCCACTTGATTAAAAAATGTAGATGTCATTGTTGACCTCTGTGAAGTCAATTTTGGTAGTAGAATGGGGTGACTAGCTGCCCTGCCATAAAAAATGGAACGTGTGAACAAAAACTACTCTTTCAAAAGGTAAGTTATTTGGCTGGGTGCAGTGGTTCATGCCTGTAATCTCAGAACCTTGGAAGGTTGAAACAGAAAGATTGCTTAAGGCCAGGAGTTTGAGACCAGCCTGGGGAACTCAGTGAGACTCCATCTTTGCAAAAGAAAAACAGACAGTGAGAGGAAAGAGAGAGAGAGAGAGAGCGCAGAAGCTAGGAAGAGATAATGAAGAGTGTGAGTATGTTTATGATTTCAATTACTATCTTTATGTTGATGATTTTCTTATTTTTCAGGCCCGATATCTCTACTGCCAAACTTGTATTTCCTTCTGCCTATCCGGTACCTGGATACCCTGCAGATGTCTCTCAAACCCAACATGTCAAAAATGAACTCAAAGGATTATCCATCATCCCCTGAAGCAGGCCCTTGATATGAAGTGACATAGTAGTCTTTGTTTTGACTACTCTTGAGTGACTCTATGGATCAACGAAATAGCACTTGCCATCTGCTAATACATACTGTTGAATTAATGTTGCGTAGGGGGTTGGAGTGTGAGGGAAGCCTCGCTCAATTAGTGGCTGTTTGTTAGGTTCCAAATACATCTTGCTGTTATATATTCCTGAATGTGCACCTAATAACACTTCCCAGTTAATAATTATTTTTCTTTGTAAGAAATGGACTTAGAATTAAAAAAGCCAAATCCAAGTATTCTTTTTTTTTTTTTTTGAGTTGAAGTCTCACTCTGTCACCTGGCTGGAGTGCAGTGGCATGCTCATAGCCACCGCAGCGTCAACCTGATGGGCTCAGGCAATCCTTCCACCTCAGCTTTCCAAGTAGCTGGAACTACAGGTGCACACCATCACACCTGACTAATTTTTTGAGTTATTGTAGAGATGAAGACTCATCAAGTTGCCCAGGCTGTTCTGGAACCTGTGGGTTCAGGCAATTCTCTCACCTTGGCCTCTCAAAGTGCTGGGATTATAGGGGTGAGCCACTGCGTCCAGTCAATCCCAAGTATTCTTAAAGGAAGTGAAAAAGTTCAAGAAAGTGATGATTATTAGCTAGAAAATAAAAGTTTTGTATTGTGATGGTTAAGTTTATGTATCAACTTAACAGGACCACAGGGTGCCCAGATACTTGGTCAAACATTATTCTGGATGTTTCTCTGAGGGTGTTTTTGGATGAGATTAACATTTAATCAGTATATTATAGACTGACTAAAGCAGACTGTCCTCCATAATGTGGGTGGGTCTCATTCAAGCATATACAAATCTGACTAGGAAAAAAAAAAATGACCCTCTCTCAAGAAAGAGAATTCTTTCTAAAGCCCTTTGAATGGAAACCTCTGCCTTTTTCTTGCCTTTAGACTTGGAATGAAATAGCTCTTACTGGATCTAAAGTCTGCTGGTCTTCAAACTAGAACTACATCATCAGCTCCTCTGGTTCTCGGGCCTTTGGGCTCGAACTGGAACTGAACCATTTGCTCTCAAGTCTCCAGCTTGTGAACTCCCTCTGAAGATCCTGGGACTTGCCAGCCTCCATAATCATGTAATCTAATTCCTTATAATAAAGCTCTTTCTAGATATCTATCTATAACAATAAAGATATACTATTTATATAGGTAATAATGCAGATATATAGGGCATTGTGTTGAATTATTGGTGATCCATTTGCATGATGTGATTAAGTATATCAAATACAATATATTATAAATAATTTGATAAGCTGTTTTTTGGAGGAACACTCCATCTACTCAGCTATTTGAACCAGAAAACTAGCCATTCCCTCCTCCTTTCATATCTCATGTATCTGATCAATTAAGTTCTATAGATTCCATTGCTTAAACATATCTCAAATCCATCCAATTCTCCTCATCCTCTTTGCCATCATTTTTTCCTAACCAGACTACTGCAATTAATAGACTAGTCTGACATACCAGTCTACTTTCCACATTGCAAACAGTGATCATTCTAAGGAGGAAATGAAATATTATTATTTTCTTGGTGTTCTTGTTGCAAATAAAGGTTCATTATTACTTTTAGGACCAACTCCAAAACATTTAAGATGGCTTAAAATCTTCTTATGATCTAATACACTGCTTTTATTTTTCTCAAACTGGCAATACTTCTTGTTTCTGGGCTCTTTCACAGTTTACTCCTTGTGCCTGTAACACTCTTCAACCCTACAATTTACTTTGTGTTAATGCTCACTCACAGTTTATGTCTCAGCATAATAAAACAATAAGCCTGCACAACTGTTCTATGTGCTTTACATGTTATTAATTATTTAATCCTCACACAACTCTATAAAGAAGATATTATTACTAACCTCATTGTATAGAGAAGGAAACTGAGATGTAGAGAGTTAAAGAACATACACAAGATCCCAAATCTGAAACTCAGATCTTTCCTCTAATATCTCTAGTATCCAAAAAAACTGTGGATTTTTTTTGGCCTTCTCTCTTAAGTTTTACAAACTACATGTGACCCAGTAGCAAATATTGGTGACTCTGCTTTCAAAATTGATCAATAATCTGACCACTAGCCCAAAATATCCTTATCTCATACCTGAATTACTTGCAACTTTAAAAAATTACTCTTAATTTTTAAGCTTTCCTGATTCCACTCTTGCCCACCTACAATCTAGTCTCATCATAAGTTCCCAGATAAAGGTGCTTTAGAACATAAGTCAGATCATATTTTCCTCTGCTGAAAATTCTCCAAAAACTCACACCAGAAAAAGGCAAAATTCTTTACACAGTACAGTGCTTACTTATTCTACACTTATTCTGCACACCTTTCTCAATCTCCCTGATATCATCCCCTACAGACTTCGCCCTAGTTCACTGTGCCTCAGCTACTTTGGTCTCCCTGTTCTTCCTCAAATATGTTAAACAAGTTTCCTCTTTTGCCTTGACACTTGCTGTTACCTCTACCTAGAAAGCACCGGATCCCAAAAGCCAGATAGGTCTTTCCATCTCCTTCAGATTTCTGCTCAAATATTACCTTCTCAGTGAGGCCTGCCACTAGCATCTAGCTAAAACTACGCTCAATGGATGAAAAATTAGCAGCAGAAGGTTGTACCCTGTTAACTAGATCCACAGCTTCCACCCTCCTATAGGCCCCAGGGCTGACACCTCCCGCCACGGACCCCGCCCCCTCGGCAGAGAGAAGCTTCTCTGCACCCGCCGTAATCAACTGCCCTCCAGAACTCTAGACCACAAATTCTCCCCCAGCCCGGAGCCCAGGTTAAGGGCCAGCTCACCCGGCCAAGTGCCCGCAGAAGGAGCCAAACACTCTCAAACACCGTCTTAGCTTCTCGCCGAGAATCAACTCTGGCACCCCGGAGCCCTTTCTTCTCCGCTCTAGGAACGCTTGGAGGTCCACGACTCGATGGTATCCTGCTTGGGCTTCGCAAAGGCTGCTAAGACGCCGCCTGCTGCGGTCCGCTAGCCAGGAGGGTAAGTAATGTCATTTGTGAGTTTTGTTTTTTGTATTTGTTTTTCATTTAAAAGCCGACATTCATCTTATTCATGTAAAAACAGGCCAGTTCAGCTGCATGTTATCACAGCCAATATTTCCAGTTAACATAAATAAAAAAATACATACTTTGCCATTTCTTACCAATTAAACAAATTATCAAAGCCAGTGGCAAAAATGTCAATGTATTTTGAAAATTAAAATGAAGAATATATATTTGAGTTGAAAGGTTTATTTATTTGTTTTTGAATCGGAGTCTCACTCTGTCGTCCAGGCAGGAGTGTAGTGAAAAGTTTAAAGTAAGAAATTAAGCCTATTACTGTGAGAGAAAATAATCAGTAATACTTGTCAGTAAATGTAGTGTTGAGGTGTGTGGTGGGGAGCATCAGCTATCACTTTGCCAAAATAAATTCTACCAGAGAACAGAAATAGTCCCTCTCTTGCCCACCATCTTTTAAACTGTGTTTTTGTAGACTTTAAATAAAATAAAAAATCTGAACAAACTTTTCTGTTTAATAGATCAGTTGATTCTAGTTTTGAAATATCAATAAATAGCATATGAACCATTGAACTATGACATATGTAATTTATTCAGCATTTCAAACATTGAAATGACCATAATAGAAAGAAAAAATAATGTTTCATTATCACAAGGAGAGTCATCTTTTCTCCTTGGCTATCAGAATGTGATTTTGAAAGTATCTTTTAAAAGTTAAAAATATTTACCTTAAAACTTTTCATTAGGCTAACAAACCCAGTTAACATAAATATTTTACTAATTAGAAGTTAATATTAAACTTCTAAAAAAATTCCCAGTAGGGGATTTTTCTATTTTGTAAAACACTATTTTAGGTAATTTCATAAAGTCATAAAATGATAAGAAATGGTGTTTCATAAAATTTATCAATTGTAAATCAATCAGCTGTAGCCTCACTAGTTTGGTTTTTTAGGCTGTTTCTCAGCACCGAATAAAACTCAGTGTAACTCTGGTAGTTAAGACAAATTGATCTGCTTGAGCAGAGTTAAATAATAAAGTGATTTTGGTGATTTCTTGGAAACTAAACACAGAATGTTTATTGTGCTGTTTTCCTTCTATTCCACTACCCATAATGACATACTCTGGGGAAAACTACTTCAAAGGACAAGTTGTTCTAGCACTTTTTATTAGCTCCTGAGAAAAAAGTAATCCACAGTAAAATTCCAACTCTCAAAATCTCTTTTATGGCACATTTCTTGGCCCTCTCTAATGGCAGCATTAAATGGCAAGTTAAACATAACTACAGCAAGTGCTGTCCCAAGTATTCAGCTGTGTGGGCATTAGATATGTTATTTGTTGCACTGTATGTGTTTTATCTTTTTTTTTTTTTTCTTTTTTTTCCTGGAGTTGAGGTCTCACTCTGTTGCTCAGACTGGATAGTGCAATGGTACGATCACAACTTACCACAGCCTTGACCTCCTGGGCTCAGGCGATCCTTCTGCCTCAGTCTCCTGAGTAGCTGGAACTACAGGCACGTGCCAACATGCCCAGCTAATTATTTGATTTCTTTGTAGGGATGAGGTCTTGCTATGTTGCCTAGACTGGTTTCAAACTCCTTGGCTCATGCAATCCTCCCACTTTGGCCTCTGAAAATGCTGGGATTACAGGCATGAGTCACTGTGCCTAGCCAATCTTTTTGGAAAAGAAGCCCACCAATCTTACCTTGGCTTATTTAGAAGTTGGAGTTTCTCAGCTGCATCTTTTTCCCAAGTGAGAAAGACAAAGATGTTTGGCTAGTATCAGGGAATCTTTAGGCCTCAACAGGCAATATGATCAAGAACTTACTTTTCCCAGAAAAGTAAGTCAAAGGCAAATAACAAAAATAAATACTTGCAAGATATTAATAGTTACTTTATTTACTATTTAAAGAGCAGACAGACCAAAAATGCTTCAGATGAACAGACAAAGGTTATAATGTGGGCAGTACACACACACACACACACACACACACACTTTCAAAAGACTCAAATACATCTATGAAAAGATGTTCTACCTTACTCTTAACTAATGAAGTGAAAATAAAATAAAGAATGAAATACCATTTTTCATCTATTAGATTGGCAAAGATCAAAATATTTGAAAGTACAGTGGTGATGTCAGCAAGTGTGTAAACATAGAAGGCAATGTTGCAATATGCATTAAAGTTTAAAAGCAGAGCTAATATGTGACATTCTTAGGCTTTTCTTGACCACCGTATCAAGTCTCCCCATTTTGACTCTAGCCCCTCTTCCTCATATCATATTGCAATGTGTAATTATTTGTCTCCTCCAAGTAGAATGTAAAATTCTGTGATAACAAGGATCAAGCCCATCTTGTTTCTTGGTTTATCCCCAGTACCTGCCATAATGCTTAACACATAGAAAGCACCTAGTAAGTATTCTCCCTTTGATTCAATAATTATACTTTGAGATTAGCATTTCTAGATGACCCAAATGATTCTTTTGAGATGAATATGTTAAAGATATACTGTCACACATCCACTAGGACTTTTGCTACAGTATTATGACATCAAAACATAGAAAAACATCTCTAATGTACAACAAAATATGGTCCTTCCATACAGTGGAATATGAGAGTTAATAAAAAGAATGAGGTAGATTTTATGTATTGACATAAAACATCTAAGATGCATTAAGTGAAAATAGGCTAAGTGTCAATGCACGTATATAGTGTAGTATTGTTTTTAAAAATGGAAATATGCATATGTAATAGTGTGGCTATCATCAATATTCTCCAACTCCCTTTGGAGAAAATCTCAAGCTAGTGTGGTTCACTGTTAACCATGTCATCCTGGGGTAAAGGTCCCCTTCCACATCACACTGCCCTGCCAGATTCTAGAACCCCATCCCTTCACCTTCAGTTCTACAGGGTTTACCAGGGTTTTGAGCTTTGAAAAGGGGGTTATCCAAATGAGACAGTTTGGTTAGTGTTGAATGAAAGTCTCAGGGTCCAAGCAGATATCACCAAATGACAACAAAGGCTTATAATAAACCGTGAGTGGAGTTTACTCTCAAGTTTCCCCCAAGACTGGTGCTAGCTAGTCTCTGAATGCTAATTTTTTTGTCCATGTGGTCCCTCCTAATCTGGTCTCTTCATGAGCTCTGCCACCTACCTTATTCTTTGTACTTTATCATTTTTTTCTTTCTCTTGCTAGTCTAGGTGATTGTGATCTTCTTTTAGATCTCTTTTTCTGAATAAACTTTGTATCTTTTTCTGAATAAACTTTGTATCTTTTTCAATCAGGATTTGGCTTCTAATCTTCAAAGCCAAGCTTTTCTTCCAGAAAACTTTGACTCATGTACTTGCTACATTTTTCAAGAATCATTCAAAACTGTAGTAGGCATTTATTAGTTGTCTATTTCCCCTAATATTGCTCTGATTTTCTTTCAGGTATATACTCCTTCCCCACATAGCCCATAAACTGACATCTACAATTCCACAGGTAGGTCATTCTATTTCCCAGGCAACGGCACTTGTTTTGAGAGGACATGTGACCTAAGCTTATCCCATTAAGGGTGACTCTCTGGACTCTTGTTTGGAACACCAAGTCAAAAATGTTATTTCTCTCATCAGAGGTGGACCAGGAAAAAAGAAACAAACTCAGTAACTCTGGCAGACATTTAGTTGTATAAAAAGCCCATGGAAAAGGAAGACAGAGAAAGAAGCCGAAGTTTAATCAAAAGCATGCAGGAAATCTGTTCCCCTTCTAGACTTTTAGTTATAACCCGGTCTATTAGCTGCAGCCAGAGGTATACAGTCAATCTAATCCTTTGTTCTTTTTGGGCTTCTTTTGATCCTCCCTGGGAAAAATAAAATGGCTCCATGAGGTAATGGGGTGAGGGGGGAGAACAAAAAAGAGTGACGGGGAGAATACTTTAGTTTAATATAACTCTAACCTTTATCCCACCACATAACCACATATACCCTTGAATGTGCACATAAAATTTATGGGCATGTATAGGAGATACCAAAAAGAGATTTCTTTGGGGAGAGGTGTCAGGGATTGAAGTGAAAGATTCATTTTACTGATTCTCCTCCTGTAGTGTTTAAATGCTTTTTAAACCACGTGTACATATTTCTTTTAACAACAACAACAACAAACCTGCTAAAGATATCTCCTAATGCAGGTTTTTCCTGAGGGACTTACTAACATAGTAAATACAGTAGCACTGTAAAGCCTTTTAATATTTTTGGTTATATAAAACTTTTGTTGTTAAGAGTTTTGCTGTGCAACAAACAAATCCCTACTTGTCATCTTTCCCTTTTGTCTTTCTGAACACCATCTCTCGGAAACTGGCTAAAATCTTATTTTCTCTCTTTCGTCTCTCTTCTTGGTTAAAGGATGCAAGGGCTCTCTTCTCGTCAGCACTATATATCTGGTTCTCCTTACGCAGTCGTACAGCCTCCATTCTGCGATGCCTGCTACCACTCATGACATAACCTGAGCATTCAAACGAAGCGATTTCTTCACTTGTCAACCCAATTTCACCTCTTCGTGGGATACGCTTTCCGGCTTTTACATATTCAGCCATAGCTGCACCTTCACCTGGGAGCAGCGCATGACCATAGTTCAAAGGTTTCTCATCTTGAGAGGTATACATTATAGGTGCTTCTGGACCTATTAAATCCATGGTATCTGCAATCTTAGATTGTTCAATCCAGGTGTCTTCTGGCAACTCCTCTTCTGAAGTTCTACAGCTTGAGTCGTTGGATTCTTTTTTAGTCTTCTTCTTTTTCTTGGTCTTTTTGGCTTTGTGTTTCTTTTTCTTCTCTTTCTTTTTGGCTTTTTTGAGTCTCTTTTTATTATTGTCAGAGCTAGAATGCATGTCGGAGTCTGAGTCGCTGTCACTATTATTAGAAGACTTTATATGTTTTCTTTTAGACGACTTATTCCTTCTCTTTTTCTTGTTTTTTGAACGACTGACCTTTTTCTTTTTTTCTTCCGTGTTGGAATCCGAACTGCTGCTCTTCTGATTCATTACCTCTTCGTCCTCAACTGGGGTATGTTCATCAGAATCTGGCTCAGGAGACTTCGGAGACAGCCCCCATACTTCCGGCGCTCCCAACTCTCCGGTCCTCTCTCTCTCCTTCAGCCTCCTCTGCCAATAGCGCTCCTCTATCACCTTCTCGTAGACTTCCGCCCGCTGCCGGTAGCCCGCATAGCGGTGGTGATGGTAGCGGGATCCCCCACAGTAGACCGAAGAGGAGGACGAGAAGGCGTAGTTGCGGAGTCCTGGGGGCCGCTCTCGAGACCCAGAGCGGCGAAGGGTGGAGGAAGTACCCATGCCCGAGTCGCTGCACGGAGGCCTGAGGTTCTCACGGCCGCGGGAGCGAGAGTGGGAACGGCCATCCCAAGGGGAGCGTCCGGCCTGCGCGGATGGCCGGCTCCCCGACGAGCTGCGGCGCTGTCTCCGAGTGTCCAGGGTTTCCTCCCAACAACGGGATCGGGATACCGGGGCCATGAGCCGCGCCTCGAATGGGCTACGCGGACGGTTACTACAGAAACACGGGCTGGCTGGCGGTTCCCACTCGCGCAAGCGCAGTAAAAACGGCCTCCACGCACGACTTCCGCTTCCGGCCAGTTGCCAGGCGAATAACGAATCTGCGCGTGGGCTGTGAGGTCCCCGCCTTGTCGGACGCGGCGTGGAGAGTTTTTGTCGGAAACGGACACAAGGACCAGGGTGCGCCGCCTTTTGAGACTTACAACTCTCAACTTGAATCGCGTGGAAACGTGAAAGGAGGAATTCGCATCAACTATTCCTTCTGTTGTTGAAACATCACCTTCTCTATTTGGGTTTCTTCTTTTACTATCTTGCTTCCGCCCGTGGTTCCTCCCTTTCTCACTTTCGCCTCCTTAACTTTTACCCCTTAGTGAAGAATGTCAGTTACCAGCAATCTTCCCCTCCCACCCCGCCCAAAACAAGCAAAGAAAACCCCCAAACTTATTCATGCTCTTCATGGAGAAAATACGTTTAATTAATGACGTCTCAACCCTGCTTGTTCTTACTGGAAGCAAGAACCAGAACTTCTTTTGGTATCAGTTTGAGCTCAGCCCCTAAGCCAAGGGAGGGCCAGAGTCATAATGCTAATTCTTACATAAACAAGCTTTTCCAACCCAGAAAGATAAAAGCATCCTACTTGGTCTTGTAGATGTCTTTCTATGTGGGGACGTTTCTTTAGAAACCCGTAGTTTGGAAGCCACTTTCTGAACATACTTTAGATCTCACTTTCTGAAATGACATTTTATTCAGGGTTATTTCCCCCAGATCTTAAAATGTGCATAGGCATTACCAATGCCTTGGTTCTGTTAAGTTGAGTTGACCTGCTCAATTAGTTGACAGCCAAGTCAAATCTTAAGAACTTTAAGACTAGTGCTTTCCTGATGTTAGGACTCTAAACAATACAATAAGATTAAATTGAATAAAACCAAAGTATAATTTTAGTCATGTGATCGAAAGGAATAAATATCGGTGCCATGCCATAAATCATGCAAATTTAGGAACTGACAAATGGGGAGTATTATATGTGATTGGTCACATATATAGTGAAAATACATGGATAAGGTAGTACTATAGGTTGTAGGTAATGAGAGTTTTCTTTTGGATTTATAAACTACTTGATAGGTCAATGAAATGAATACTTAAATGTTCCTTGAGATAACTGAAAAATTAAGTCATTAAATCTGTTGGTGATTTCGAATGTTGACAAATTGAGGGAAAACCTTTTTCAGATAGCACATAGGAAAATGTATTTTAGAATGTTTTTTGATCGGTAGAAAATTTATGACCTAGAATAGGGGGTGTCAAACTTTCTGCAAAGGCCATTAATAAATATTTTAGGGTTTGTGGGCTAAGAGGCAAAATTGAGGATATTATGTATGTACTTACAATAAAAGGAAAAACAAATGTTTACATATTTTGTTGATGAAATATAATTCTCTTATTCAAAATAACAAACATTTTATACAAAGTTATGCTTCCCTGATCTTAAAATGTGCATAGGTATCACTATCATCTTGGTTCTGTCTAGTTAAGTCAGCTGGCTCAATTGAATACTTTTTTTTTCTATTACAGATTTTGTGATAGGAAAAATGAAATTCTTTTCTGGGTGAATAATTTTGCTTAATTGCGGATCTGCCCTTGTAGGATTAAAGCAGCCATAGACAATATGTAATAAATGAATGAACATGGCTGTATTCAAATACAATTTTATTTATAGACACTGAATTGAATTGTATATGATTTTCACATATTAACTAAATTTTATTATACTTTTAATTTTTCCCCCAACATTTAAAAATATAAAAATCATTCCTTGCTCAGATCATACAAAAACAGACTGAGGACCAATTTTGCTCTGCAGGTAGTAGTTTGCTAACTCTTGATTTAGCAGAAAAAGCAGTGGTATAAAAGATGTGCTAATAGGGATAGTAATGCCTACCAAATCTGTTTTATGGGGGGGCTAGGCTTTCGTTTTTTAAATTTTATTTATAGATGAGCAAATGTTTATTAGTATAGAACATAAAAATATATTTGATGGGCTAGATGTGGTGGCCTGTGCCTGGAATCCCAGCATTTTGGGAGGCCAAGTTAGGAAGACTGCTTGAGCCAGGAAGTTTGAGACTGAGACCATCCTGGGCAACATAGCCAACATACCCCATCTTTACTATACATGTTACCCTCCAATCCAATGAATCAGCTGCTATCCCTCATGGCCAAAAAGATGAGGAGCAGAGACTGGGAGAAAAGGGAATGTTTAATTTCTATGAGCAGGTTATAGAGAGATGCATTGGCATCCTTACCAAAAAAGCTGCTCAAAGCAACACAAACTAATTTCAGTATTGGATGAATGAAGGGCAACATTCATAGCCCTTCACCCACCCCAAGCTTGAAGACTATGTGTGAAGGAGATGAGGGCATAAACTGACAAGGTCCTTGTGTTCCTGGCCTGTATTCAAAGAAGCCTGGCCAGTACTCCCTTCTCTCTGCTTACCCTTAGGGAGTTGACTTGATAAAAGGAGTACCACCTGACCTCATGTCTGCCCCGTCTGGATGTTGCCTATTTTAACAATAACATTATTCAGTATCAGTAAACACAGGTGTTATGCTAGAAATACTTAGAACATTAAAACATTTCTTGTTAAGAGTGTAGTTTGGCCCTATATAAGGGGCATGCTGTGAAAATAAAATTGCTCTCACCGATTTAAGAGAGAGACCTTCCAATCCCGCCGTTTCTTGTTTTCTTTCTCATTCCCTCCCCCCACCTCAGGCCCTGCTCACTGGAAGTTGGAACTCCGCATATGTGTAGTTTTATCATGACTGAAGACTTGTATTAACAATTTTTAATATGTGATTACTAATGTGACAAAATCTCCTGGTCATGCTGACATTTTAGATAACATTTGGAATTTACAATATGTTCTTTTACAGTGTTTTAGAGGAAGGAACAGACAATTGCAACATTTGGAAGGAAGGGAAATTCACAACATTTAAAATAGATAGCTTTAAATTGTTTTAAAGCATAATTGTAGACCAGGCATGGTGGCTCATACCTGTAATCCCAGCCCATTGGGAGAGAATAGCTTAAGCCAAGAAATTTGAGACCAGCGTGGGAAATGTAGCAAGACCTTGTCTCTACAAAAACAAAAGCTGGGTGTGGTGGCCTGTAGTCCTAGCTACTTGGAAGGCTAAGGTGGAAGGATAACCTGAGTGCATGAGTTCGAGGCTGCAGTGAGCTATGATGGTGCTACTGCACTCCAGGCTGGACAGTAGAGCGGGATTCTTACTTAAAAAAAAAAAAAAAAAAAAAACTCAACTCAAAACATAATTGTAACAATCTTCTATTCTCAGAGCCTATCATGTCCTTCTATTCACAGAGAGGAGGTGGGAAATGCCCACATCAGGCTTTCAGACACACTCCTGTTGGCCTTGTATCACTCTCCTAATTATTAGGTGGTCTGGCTTGCTGGCTGTTTCTTCTTCAGCACCAGCAATGGCTTACTAAATAAGATTGGCCAGTTGGGCAAGGCAGTGCTAGGAGAGGAGAAGGGGAGCAGAGGGGAAGGAAAAAAATGCACTTCTAAATTCAAATGACTTCCAAATTCAGCTCAGTTCAATTACAAAAGAATACAAGTATTTAAGTCTTTTCTAAATGACAGTTTTAATATAGCCAAAATGGCCTCTTTTCAGCCTATACCACATATAATATATACAATATAGAAGATATATAAAGAAAATAGAGAAAGTTTAAAAATAACAATACATTTTAATCATTAAGAAAAGCACTAAATGTTGAACACTCAGCTAGAATGAAATTGCTCTCACAAGTAATGTTTTAATTTCTCAGAATTGCTTTTCATAAATCTTTCCCCAAATTTATATTTTAAAAACTTTTTTTTTTTTTGAGAAAGCAGGATTAATTGAGAGGATAGAAAAGCTCCCACAGTGGGAGGGGACCCAAGGAGGTTGCCCTTTCAAAAAAAAACTTTTAAACCTACAGAAAAGTAGAATAAACATGTTCTTTATCTAGATTCACTAATTGTTAAGATTTTGTTTCTTATTTAATTGAATGAAAATTGTAAACATTATGATGCTTCACTGCTAAATACTTCAACAATTCATGCTTTAAAAGAAGGCAATTTTCTTTAATAACCACAATATCATTCTTATCCTCCACAATTTTAACATTATTACTAAATACTAGCGTTAATCTGATATTCAGGATATGTTAAAAATTATTCAATTGTTCCAAAAATGTCCTTGAAGTGGGATTTTTGTGTGTGTGTTTTTTAAAAATTCAGAATTCATTCAAGGATCACACATTGCATTTAGTTATCATAACACTTTAGTCTCTGTAATAGAACAGTTTTTCTCCCTGTGTCCTGCAATGGTCTGAATGTCTGTGTCCCTTCATAATTCATATGTTGAAACTGAATACCAATGTAACAGTTTTAAGAAGTGGGGCATTTGGGAGGTGATTAAGTTAGAAGAGCAGATCCTTCATCAATGAGATCTGTGCCATGAGAGAGGCCCCAGAGAGCTGTTTTGCCTCTTCCACCATCTGTGTGAGAACACTGATAAATGGTGCCATCTAGGAACCAGCAAGCAGAACTTCCCTGGACACCAAATCTGCCTGCACCTTGATCTTCAGAATTTAGTCTTCAAAACTGTAAGAAATACATTTCTGTAGTTTATAAGCCAACCAGTTTATGGTATTTTGTTATAGCAGTCCAAAGGGACTAAGATAGTCCCCCAACAATTAAAAAATTTTTTCTTGACGTAGTTTTGAAAAGTCCAGGATGATTATTTTGTAAAATGTCTTACAAGTTGAATTTATCTGATTGATTCTTCGTGATGGGATTCAGGGTAATCCTGTTTGGCAGGTTACATAGGTGATATTATATACTTAATGCATCACATTCAGAGGCACTTGACCTCAGTTTGTCTCAATCTATACTTATTATTAAGTAATTCCTGGCCAGGTATGGTGGCTCACACCTGTAATCCCAGCACTTTGGGAGATTGAGGCGAGAGGATCACTCAAGCCTGGGAGTTCAAGACCAGTCTATGCAACATCGAGAGACCCTGTCTCTATGTTGGAAGAAAGAAAAGAAAAGAAATTAGACTAGCATAGTGGCTCACACCTATAATCTTAGCTACTCTTAAGATTGAGGCAGAAGGATGGCTTGAGCCCAGGAGTTTGAGGCCGCAGTAAGTCGTGATGATACCACTGCATTCTAGCATGAGCAACAGAGTGAGACCTCCTACTCAAAATGACAAGAAAAAAGAAAGATAAATTCCTAACAAGCAACTTTATAACACTCTGAGGGAAACTTGTAATTCAATTTTCTTTCAAATTACTTCACACTATATTTTGTGACCTTTGCATACAAAACCAACAATAAAGACAATGTTTTACTTTATGTCAGTTTGAGACATTCACTACTGAGAACTATTTTGAAACACTTAAAAACAAAAATAAAAAATGAAAACTCTGACTTGGGATAGTGTTTATAGCATAAGGATAGGATTTAAAAAACTCCATCAGTCATAAAAAGAGAAAAATATGAAATGTTTATATATGGGGGGTTGGATAATGGTAAAACTTTAGGTGGCATGGACAGGAAGACCTTACTGAGAATTTAAAGAAATTCTAAAGAAAATGAGGAAGCTAGCCTTGCTGATATACACAGAAAGGGCATTCACGTAGAGGAACACAAGTGCAAAGGCCTCGATCCAGCAGAATATCCTGAAAGAAGGCCTGTTTCAAGCAAAATATCAAAATTTTAAATAAAGATAGGATTAGTAAGAGTGCTTTGCCTAGCTATATTGGAACATGAGGTCAAACAAAACAAAACTAAACTAAACTAAACTAACAACATTCGTAACCTTGTCTCTAATTTTGATATTCTGTTCACCATGGATTCACTGCATTAATTTTGATTTCTTAGAATATTATTTATCTTGATTTATCGTCATTTGGCACCCTTTTAAATTTTGCCTCACTCACCTCACCTAGTTCTAGGGCTTGTCTGTTTTCATAGAGTGGAATAACTGAGGGAAGAACAGTAAGTAGGTGAAACCAAGGCAATTGTTCCACCTAAGAGAAACACCATGATGAAATAATGGTCCTTCATGCGTCACCCCGCTGCGTCCGAGCCCACCCTTAGCTTCCCAACTGCACTGGATGCAGCAGACTCAGGGGCAAGATTCAAGTCTACATATACTGAAAAACGAGTCACTTAACACACCCCAAATCCTCACCCAACTTGCATGTTTGTTTTGGGTCTTTTATCAATGCAGAATTATGTAGAGTTGTTTAAAGCTAGCATTGATACCTGTGTATGGAGTAGGGAAGAACAGTTTCAGTGTCGAGCTCCTGAACCAGGAGAAGCAGGTGGGTGAGCAGCAAGTGAGCATAGCTGTAAGAGTGGTGTGAGAGAGACAGCTGGTGTTCACACATGAGAACCCATGTTAACCAAATGTTTCTTGCCCAGTGGGTATCATGTTGAGGCATACCCACTAGCAAAACTGAGGAAAGCATATGTCAGGATCTAATGCACAAAAAAGAAAGCAAAGCTGATAAATCTGTCAATCATTGTAATCACGTGAACAGGTCACTCTTTTTAAACAGTAGATATGACTAGGATAAGTTGCAGGGCTTTCACCAAAATCTTAGAGCTATCAGTACTGTGGTACTTTTAAAAAACACCAAACTTATTCAGGAAGGTACAGAACCCTACCACATACAATTCCTTCAGTGTTTTAATAGCCTAGTTCGTGATTTGGATATTAGACAAAAACAACTAACATTTATACAGTACTCTGATTTACATTTTATAGTGTTTCACAAACTTACCTCATTTACCAAATTGCCTAAATCTATGTTCTGCAAATGAGAAAAAGTTGTATATTGTAACTCTAAACCCCATGATCTTACCATCACTCTAAAGTCAGATGCAGTGGAACTAATTGTGCAGGGCTTTGAAAGTAGTGCTCAAGTTCTCTGCACATTACCATTTTGAAGTAGAGTTTCTTCTGTGTTTTTATGTCTCTTCTTTTTTTCTCTGATAAATTCCTAGGCATCACAAGGTCAAGGATTACTACACTTTTTATTTATTTTGTAATTCTGAAACTCTTCTATGTACCTGGTGTGATATAAAACAAACATATATGGATGGACGAATTTATGTGAGCATTAATCAGGGATGCTTTTACTGTGGAAAAAATACTAGTTAAGCATGCATATTTCAGGAGAGAGTGTAGTGACGCAAGCTAGGAATCAGGTCTCAAGAGATGTAGGATAGACTCTTAGCAATGTCATTTGGCAGCTGTTGTAAGAATCAAAAAGTTAAATATAAAGGGGTTTAATGGACTCCAATATGAAATAAACACAGGGCCAGGACTAAAGTGAGGCAAACAAGGCACTGAGGGCACAAAATTTAAGGATACATCCACTCCCTTATGTTTTGTGACCTCAGTGCCTCTGTTGCCTCACCATATCCCCAACCCTGTTTAAATATAAGTATAAACAAAGGCTCATCCTATTTTTTTCCTCCACTGAACATCTAAAGGAAGTTCCATGAATCATTTATAGCCCCACACAGAATATAACAACTAGAAAAAAATACTGTGCAGTTTTGGAGCAATACACAGCTCACATCATAACGGTTTGGTGAGAATCTATATGACTGGTTTCCATAGTACCAAGGAGACCAAAAATGCCTTAAAAATAAGGCAGTTTTAAGGTTTCTGTGGAGATAGGAGAGCTGTTTCTTGTCGTTTTTCTGAAGGCTGTTATATACTGACCCCTAAAAGAATCAGACCCCCTCTAACATTTATAGCCAGCATCTCTATTATTGCTTAAATTATCTGATCATAATATACCCATTAGGGTGTATCAAGATTAAGTTTTATGCCTTTAAGCAATAAGACAAGAAGAAATATACCACTTGGGAGACTTTTGGAGACCTCAGTGTTTTCAAAGATCCTTTATAGTCTTCAATACAATGATAAACATAAATGGAGGAAAATATGGACAGAAAAAGGAGAGAAGCTATGGGAAAAGGGAGAGACTCTTACACCCATAATCAATTATTTAAAAACCAATAGTGAGTAGTTGGTTTCCTAGCAGGCTTATTTATAGGATGAAATTGGCTTTATAGAAATTTTGATTCCCAGAAAACTGCCTCAATAGTATGAAATGTAACTTTTTTTTCAGTAGTAGGTTATACTGGATCCATTTTGGAGCCTTGGATATTAGATCATCTTCTATTCATTTTCAGCCATGCTGTGCCACTGTACTGGGTGTACTGGGTGACAAAGTGAGACTTCAACTAAAAAAAAAAAGAGATGTTATTCATGCCTAAGTTCCATTCTGATTTAATTGATCTTGGGTGCAGTGTAGGCATCAGGATATTTTAGCTCCCCAATGATTCTAATGTGGCACAGAGTTTGAAAACTGCTAACTTAACTTGCTCCTATATCTGGCCTGTACACAAGTCTTAGGATCTATAAACTTTACTAGACTCAGGCTCACTTATTTTACTAACTATACTTTATAAGCTTTGGCCAGGCCTGGTGGCTAACACCTCTAATTCCAGCTCTTTGGGAGACCTAGGCAGGAGGTTTGCTTGAGGCCAGAGTTTAAGACCAGCCTGGGCAACATAATGAGACCCCATCTTTACAAAAAACAAATTTAAGGGCAATGTCCTATATTTCTTATGGCAGTGCATCAAAAGAGAGTACTTGCAACAACCTTTGGGAAATCTTATTTTCTTAGTTTCTTTCCCTTTCCTGTCATCCTTTGAACCGTAGAGGAATAGGCTGGGGAATAAAAATTCAAGAAGGTACTGACATGGTATTTTTTTCTACTAATAATCTACCAAGCTTGCATTTTGTAGCTTCTCCATTCCACTGGATAGAAAGAGATTTACTGATACTTCAGTCAAATAACTTGCAGTCATTTATGGCTTGAAAAATCTAGTCCCATCAGAGAAAGCTCAAAGAAATCTCAGGGCTTTCTTCTATTGTAGGGTAGGCCCAGTTTATTACAAGCTAGGCATTATTCTAAGCACTTTACATAGAAGTGCTCACAACATTATCTAATCACTACTAATGCCCACACATCCCTATCTACTTTCTCCATTAATAGATTACTGTCCCCATTTATAGATTGGGAAAGTCAGAAGTAGGGAGGTTAATTTACCAAGTCTTCCCAGTTAGTAGGTGGTAAAACTAGGATTACTCAGGTAACCTAGCTTGAGAGTCTGTGTACCTAGCCATTGTGCTAGACTGTGGCTGGGAAGAACAAGAAGGAAGAAAGCTGGAAGAATCGAGTCCATGAAGCCAGGGATTAGAGGATGTCTAAAAGTAGAGAGCAGTGTAAGCCTGGTTGGTTGCCTTAGAAGAGGCCATGGAAGGCTGGGCCTGCTGGCTCACACCTGTAATCCCAGCACTATGGCAGGTCAAGGTAGGAGGACTGCTTGAGCCCAGGAATTCAGGACCAGACTAGGCAACATAGTAAGACCTCTTCTCTACTAAATTATAATAATAAAAAGAGGTCATGGAAAGTGGTAACTTGGGGAGGCAGGAATCTCTAGGTACTATTGCAGGAGCAATCTCAGTGCATTGGGAGTTTACTGCCTACAATGAGTTAAGGATTTCTGGAAGGAGCTGACTAGAGTCTGGATGAGGAGAGCTTTCTTTCAAGTAATCTGGTCTTGAAGAGGATGAAAGCAAATGGCAGATTAAGAGGGTAGGGGAGAGGCAAAGACCAGGGGCAGTCACTACTCTCTCCAGAAAAGTGCCTGTGATATGTTCTGCTTCTTTGAAGTTTTTGAGAGAGACTTAAGGTCCTCTTGACAGAGTTCTCAGCGCACTGGGGAGCCCCTGCTTCCCGGCTGATTTTTACTGTCGATTTTATGCCAGCTGCTTAGGTAAGCGTTACAACAGAAAGAATTCGAGCCCACAGTAGCATCCCTCCAGGAGTTAAAGAGTCCGTCCCATTTCTTATGACTCAGGGTATGGCATTCTTTTTTCTCCTTCCTCTGACTGCCTTCCCTTGAGTGGAGGCAAGTACAGGGTAGCGAATGGGTTAATTCGGAGACAACCACAGAGAGAAGCTTCCTAGAGCGCCCAGGAAGCGGCATTGGCTCAGCGGAGGCTTCCTGTGCCTAGCCTCAACTTCTCTCCTGTGTTTGGAGAGTGAGCACTTTCGCCTCAGCGTCGTTTGGGGATACGTCTTGTGGAATTCAGGGTGGGGTGCAGAGGAGGACGCTGCAAAGGCACGGGCTGTAGGAAAGATCTGTGCAGCTGCGCCTCGGGGGTGCCTTGGGCATGAGGGGAAGGGACCACTTGCAGTTTGACTGGCCAAGAGTGATTTCCCACCTTTCAAAAATCCTCTGAAGGTGTAAAGGTCGCAGCTAGAGTGAGGCCGAGTACTTCCCTGGGTCAGGATGGCTAGAGAACCAAGAACCCACGCTGCCCTGGGCGCCCAGCGTGCCGAGGACCAGACGGGGCTCCTACCCGTGAAGGTGGAGGAGGAGGAAGCCTCCGCCTCGGCAGCGGAGTCGAGCGCACCCCGCAGCCCAAATCCGGCCCCTGAACGCTCCCGCCAGCGCTTCCGAGGCTTCCGGTACCCGGAGGCTGCGGGCCCCCGCGAGGCGCTGAGCCGGCTCCGGGAGCTCTGCCGGCAGTGGCTGCGGCCTGACATGCACAGCAAGGAGCAGATCCTGGAGCTGCTGGTCCTGGAGCAGTTTCTGACCATCCTGCCGGGGGACCTGCAGAGCTGGGTGCGGGAGCAGCACCCAGAGAGCGGGGAGGAGGTGGTGGTGCTGTTGGAATATTTGGAGAGGCTGCTGGATGAGCCGACGCCGCAGGTAGAAAGAACAGGTTTGGGATCTGAGAGCTGTGGTCTGTTTCTTCCTGAACTCTCAAGATCGGAGTGAGGGGCATTCTTTTAAGATCCACGAGCTCACCATCTCTTTTTGCACCCTGAACCGCTTTGATAGTAAGGTGAAGTCCCTGGGCTCTTTCTCAGAATAATATTTTTAGAACATAAGGGAAACCATAAAGAGTTAAAAAGAACTCCATCATATCGAAATGCAGTTAGCAAAGTATTACACACATTTGTGACAAAGTTACACTTGTGTTCTTTTATTCGTGCACTAAATAGTAAGACCTAGGGAACAGGGCTAATACCTGGCGATTTCCAAGTGGTGGTAAGCGTGAATGACTTTGACGATATTTGCCTAGTTTTAATGTGATGTAAAAACATCTGCAGTTTCTATTGGTGATAAAGCCCTAGGTAACATTTATGCCACATAGTTTTGTTTCTTCTATTAATAATTGAAAGAAGTTATACATTTCTCTTAGAGGCTAGTAAAAATAATAATAGTTTTTTCCTATCCAAGCTCATGGACCACTTGGGAGGGAGTCCATGGACCACTAGTTATGAACTTCTGGTAGAAAATGGGCCGATTTTTACCTCCATCTTCCCTGTTTTATGAGACTGTTTCCTCCTTGCATCATCCTGTGCCCTCTCAGAGGACATGTGGCCAGAGCCTTCTAACCAGTGAGCAGGATACCATGGTTCTTGACTTGGATTTATTGCACCTGAGCTCTGTAACAGTGAAAAGTCATTAAGATCTCTCAGTTTCATTCTTTATAAAGGACGTGGGAAGTTCTGAGCTGTGCATGAGAAACTAACTTGAAAACTGTAATTTAACTATCAGCATGTGGAAGAAAACCTATATTTAACCAGGACACACTATGTGCCAGGCCCTGTGTTAGGTGATTTTACATACTGGTATTTTATTTACTGCCTCTCCCACCTCAACCCCATAAACTAGAAATTATTAACCTCATTTTCATATAAGAGAAGATATTAGTATTCTTTGATAATTTAACACCAGTTTCCAAAGAGTTTTTTATAAAAGGACAAATGTATATATTGAAGGTACAGAGAGTAAGGGTAAAGAGCATGGGCTCTGGAGTCATTCTGCCTGAGCGTCCATCTGAGCATTGCTGCTTATTAGCTGGGTCACTTGGCAAACTGATTAGACGCTGTGCTTCAGTTTTCCCATCACAAGAATCCAAAATAATGACTTATAGGGTTGTTGTCTGTGTTAATTTAGTTAGTAGTCATAAAACTCTTAGAAACAGTTCCTGGAAAACAGAAAGTACTCACATGTAGAAAACATGATAGAAATGTTTGGGAGATAAATAAAAATACACAAATTACTTCTAGGTCCCAGGTAGTGACCAGGAGCAAGAACTGCTCTGTTGTAAGGTGGCACTGTTGACATCAGCTCAAGGGTCTCAAAGTAGCCAATACCAGCCGATGAAGGCTCTGCTCAAGCAAGAATCTTTGGGATCCCAGCCCTTACAAGACAGAGGTGAGTATTATCTTCTGGGCTGTATGAATTCTACAAATTTTATCCCGTTTCATTTAAGGACCACATAAAAGAGATCCATTTACAGTTACTTTATATGCTTATTATGGAATATATTCTACTAAGACCGAAACTAAAAGGGAAATTTCAAACAGTAGGAGAAAGCTCTTCTAATCAAACTAGGACATAGTAAATCAGATTTTATTAAAATTGATATATAGAAAGAATTAGTTTTTTAAGTGACTTCCATTCATTTAATATATATTTATGGAGGCCTCATCTGTGGTAGCCAGTGTTGTAGGCACTGAAGATAGAGGCATCAGTTAGACAGAATTCTTGCTCTGATGGAGCTTACATTCTATCATGGAAGATGGCAAATAAGTTAGTAATACAACTTTAGATATAAGTAAGTGTCATGGAAAACAATAAGGCAGAATTTGTAAAAGCAGCCAGAATATTCCAGAGAGAGCAGGAGTACTGCAAATTGAATAGTATAAATCTAAACCCTGTAAAATATATAACTAGAACAGCTGCAAACTAAATAGTATAAATCTAAACCCTGTAAAATATGTGACTAGGTTAAAATCACACAGTAGAAAATTACTATGAGTAGGGGACCCCCAAAAACCTAGATTTATAAAAAATTATGTATTCTTACATGTTTAAACTTCAAAGTACTCTCCGTTTGATGCAATATACATATCCAGATGTTTTTTCCACTGCTCAAAACAGTTTTTGAACTCATCAATTTTGATGCCTTTTAGTGCTTTTGCCATTTTTTGTTTCACCTCTTCCCCATTGGCACAGCATTTCCCTTTGAGGACTTTTTTTTATCACAGGAAACAAAACAAAGTCTTTCAGGGTGAGATTGGATGAATGGGGAGGGTGGGGCACAGGAGTGATGCTGTTTTTGGTCACAAACTGCTGAACACTCAGTGCGGTTTGGGCAAGTATGCTCTTAAATCATCCATCATGAAATGGTCAAACCCACTGAAAGAATCTCCAAAAAAACCTCACTGAAGCCACAGCCTCTCACAACAGCACTAGCTGGTATACCGATGCTGATGGGTTCCTAAAACACTTCCTAGCAGAGGAAACCTGTACTACAAGGGGCCTGCCTTTAAAAAGAAAAAGAAAAAGATAATTCCGAGTTTGTTTGTTTGTCTGTTTTTTGACCCCATATATATATTTCAGGCTGTTACTTGTCTGCTATAAATATCTGGGCAAATTCCCAAGACATACAACACTTGGATAGGCTATCCAACATGCAGTCTTTATTTTTCAACAGAAGTCCTGGCCTAAACCAACTTGTTTACTGTCCCCTGCAAAGTTTACTTCTTATAGGGAAACCTGAGGTTCTTCTCTACTCTCTCTGAATCTGAGCAAGTTCTAAGTTCTAAGCAGACTCCCATTTCCTTCTTTTTTTTTTTTTTTT